AAGGTGAAACTCACAGTTGAACATGATGTTGATGATTGGTAGCCCGTGACCAAAAGCGCCCTTAGGCTGTTGTAACGGTGGATGATAATTATTTTTATTTGTAAGTTGTTTAAATGAAAGCAAACATTTAATTAACTAGTTTGAGTTAATCGATTAACTATTAGCAAGTTAATCAACCATTGAAATGAAACCATTTTTTATCATCATTATAAGGTAAAGAGTCATGAAGGGAAGGAAAGCTCATCTAGCAAAAAAAAAGTCATTCATCTTGTGAAAAGTCATTTGAAAGTTGAAAAGTCTCAACCTTTCGACTGCATCAGTGACTAGCAAAAGTCCAGAGTCAAAGTGGACACAAAAAGTGGACATTTAAGTGGAGTCTTTAAGACGAGATGAGACAAAAAGCATTTTGTATTGTCTAGAGAAAGATGAGTGGCGAAGACAATAAAGTAAAAAGTAAAAGGAAAAAAGTGAATGATGATCAACAACGAAAATTGACCGGAAAAGAAAGTGGGAGGATCGAGTGGGGTTGGTGAAATTGATGAGCATGAAGGGTGAAACTCAGGTAGAAAGTGAAAGAGAAAGAAAAAAAAGAATTGACTAAAAAAAGTAACATCGTCAGAACAATGGTTATAAACTGTAAGAGGCGGAGTAACATGGGTTTTAAGGGTATATTATTTACTGGATCATCGTATGAAGCATTGGTTAAAGGTGGACAATAGCCAGTGGTCATGCGGTAGACAGTAAGATAGATAGAGTAAAAGGTCTAATAGGAGAGAGAGAGAGTCAAAGATGAACACGATAGAGTTCATTGAATAACAATAGACTGGACATGAACCCCTCACTGGTCGACATTGTTGCTCACAGCGGGATTCACCTTTCGCTTCTTTAACCTTTTAACCTGTGACATTAAAAAGTTAAGTTAAAAAAAAGAGAAAAGACAAGACAAGATGATGATGATGATGATGATGAAGGTAAAGGTAAGGGAAGATAGACTGGTCTAGAGTCTTGAGTGAGACGGATCATGTTTGGTTGTTGTTGCTCTTGTTGTTATTTGTTGTTTATGATGATAATCATTATTATTAAGATGGTGATGCTGATGGCCTTTACTAGTCACACTGACCCTTAAGGTAAAGGACTTTCTCCATTCTTGGATTAGACTCTTCACCAAAAGCCATAATTACTGTTCAAACTCTTAGTTACGGACCTTCAATTTAAGGTAAGGTTTTTGCGGCCTTTCAGTTTTGTCTTCATCTTCTCTTCTCGTGATGGGAAATCATTCCATTTTTTTAAGGCTTTTTGCTTCTCGACTAGAAACTTGACTTGGGACCTTATTGTCCCGAACCTTAAGAAATGAGTTTCGTAAAAATCGTTTCCATTATTGACCTTTCCTCTTCAAACCTAACATATAATTTAGGTCCAGGGATTTAATACTCATAAAGTCACGTTATAACCCGTTCAAGGAGAGTTGAACATTTAACTTTTGTTTTGTCAAATCAACATTTTCAAGTCTTTTGACATTAAAATGAATCACTTTTTTTGTGAAGCGATTCAAGTCGGTAAAATTGGTACAATTTAATAGCAGATTTACCTTCAAACCAAACCTAACAATTACATCGACATTGATTAATCGATTTGTATCACAAATTTGTTATCTAATAACGCAAATGGATTAACCAATTGGTTGACCAAAACATGTTAATTTGGTTCAATTGAAAACAATAATGAAAGTTGAAACAAAAGAGGTGAAAGTTTGAAATGAAAAGTTGAACTGAAATTAATGAGCAACAACAAAAATTGTTATTAGATGATGATCAAGACGAAACTGTGTCAAGCCCAAAATGTATTAATCGGTCCATTATTTGGTCTTAACTCAACTTGCTTACGGCTAAATAAGGGTCGGAAATTTTCGTGTTCAGGGAGTCACCATGATTGGAAGGAGTGAGATGAGAGAGAGTGAATATTGAACAGCAAAAAGGGAGATCAAGGAGAGGCTCAGTCGCTTTACCTTATCTCTATCAATCTTGGTCACTCACAGGAGTGCCTTTAGTCTATACTCAGTCATATTCATTTTCATCATCATCTTCATCATCATCATTATCATCATCTCTTAACTTACTTGTCAGTTTAATAATTGCATTCCTCATCCATTTGACACTCGTCCTTACCTTTTTCAAGCAGAGTTACCAAACGAAACCAAATTAACTTCTCGTCATCATTTTTTGATCAACACTAAGAGAAGAGAAGAGAAGAAAAAAAAGTCAAAATAATTTCTTCTTCTGACTACATTTTTCCATATTTGACGTTACCTGTTGATAATAGCAAACCATCCTTCACTGACAATCAACAAATTGTTGACGTTTGTGATTCCAATTTTGTTTGTTAAAATATTCACAACGAAGCACTTTTCAAGATTACAAAATGTTCATTGATTGACAGCTTCACTGTTGTCCACTTTTTTACCTTCACTTGATCAAGTTCAACTTTTGTTTTTATATTAACATCAATCTTGTTCCCTTGAAATGTTCAATTAAAATGTCCATTTGATGGTCAAGGTTGACTTTAAAAAATTCAATTCCTTTGGTGACAAAATTTCTCATTAAATATTCAATACCCGGTTATTGGTTAACCTTATTCATAACCTGTTAATGTTACTGTCCATTCACGATCAATCGTGATCATTGGAATTAAATTAGCTTGGTAACAATTATAATTACCAATGATAATGATGAATGCCGTGAGAATAATTAACTTAAAGATTGTATACATTTTAGGTCAATTATGATTGTTAATTCAATGATTGTGGGAAAGTTGTTTTTTTGTTCATTTTGGAAACAATATTGGTTAAATTGTAGACAATTAAGCAAACAGTTCAACAGTCAACACACACATTGTAAATAAAATCAATTTCAAGTTGAAGTAAATTTTCAAATCAATGTTTTCCAATTTGATTGTCAATTTGTTTGCCTTCAACTTTGATTTTAAAAAACAATCATTTTTTTCAAAACATTGCTTTTCTGTTTACCTTTTGTTAACTGGATTAAATCAACTTAATCAACTAGATCAATGGTGACATTGATTACCTTGCGGCTATTGATTGACAATTTAGCGATTTAACAATGTTTTGCTAAATCAACAAGCTTGTTAACCATCAATTGGAACAACAATTTAAAATCAAAATGGTAAATTAGTTGAGTAAATAAGTTGATTCCTCTTTTCCTGTAATCATACTTTTCCTTGCGGTTAAATGATGTTGATGATGATGTTGATGAAGATGAAGATGACGATGAAAATGAAGGAAAACATGGGATGAGAAATGTGGTAAAAGATGAAGATTACAATCAGAATAAGTGACAATCAATTGATATGTTAATCTGCTTTTTACAGCCTTTTACAAACATTTAAAGGAAAGACAATTTATCTTGTATTATTTATTGTATTCAACACAATATGCTTCATATTGCCTCCTACTTATCATCATCATTACCATCATCACAATGTAATACCCTTTCATTCCCAATCCTATTTGTCATCATTTGAATCATTTTGGTCCATAAAAGCCATTATTTTTAAATAACAATTTGGTAACAATTCAGTTAAAACATCTAATGACCTTTGCATATGCTGTTCAACTGATTATATTTAATTGAATGCGGAGGATGAACGGATAACAGCAAGCAAAAGTGTAAAGAGTAAAGATGACATTAAAGATGATATTAAAGATGAAAATACGTTCAAAGTGATTGTCTTCCTTTAATGATCAATTAAAGTAAATTACCTTCAATTTCATGTAATTCAACGTAATTGTATTACATTGACTTTACAATAGTAATTTACTAATCAATGTTGCTACTCAATCATAGCCAGCAAAAATATCGTCAGCTTGAAAATGTGAACTAAAATTACTAATCAAGAGAAAGAAGATGAAAAAAAAGGAAGAAAAATGTTTCAAGAGAATATTTTTTTTTTTGTGGTTTTCTAATTGACTGTCTACTATTACAATGTTACTTGTCAATTGTAACCCAAATTATTGTGGCCCATTCAGGGCCCACTTCATCCTCATCGGTGGGTGTTAAATGTAATCCTTAGCATTTCATCCACATCATCATCTTTTATGTATTTTGTTCATTCAATTGGCATCTTCTTCCTTCTCAAACTATTCAATTTAATCAATCTTCCGTGAAACTTTATTTAGCTTCACAAATTACAATTCAACTTTTTTCTTCTTCTTTTTCAACCTTTCTCTCTCTGTTATTATTGCCTTGTTATTATCATGTTAGTTGCCATTGAAAGTAAAGGTTTTGGCCTTTCTCTTGTTCCTCTTTTTGTCTTGCGTTCATCCTTGACATTTACACATTCACCTTGTTGACCTGGGTCATTAGTTAATAGATGAGTGTGTCCATTGCATAAGTAAATTGCTGTTCATTCAAAGTCCATCAACTTAAAGACAGTAGTTTTTTTATGTGGATTATCACTTTACACTGTAAACCTTTGCAAACATGTAATTGCATTTGCTGGTAACACTAATCCTAAATTGATTCTCAGTTTTTTTTTTCAAACTTTGAACTTTTCTTTTCGTTTTTTTTCATCTTCTTTCCTACTTCTTCTCTTGCTCGGCATTTCATCCTCTTCTCACTGTTCAATCCAATTATCCAGGGAAAATAAAGTGTAATAATAATAAAATGATCTTTGTTGATCAAATTTCAAAGACTGCTAACCGATAAGTTTTAAAGTGGCAAAATAGACTAGGAAACAATTACAATTAACAATAACCTTTGTAACCTTAACCTGACCTCAATACTGCCAATTTCAATTTGTTTATCAACACTGGTTTCACTGTTGGGGTAACACACATATTGATCAATTTGTTAATCAACTTGCTTCCATTTCAATTGAGTCTTGCTTCTTTATATTAACAGGTCCAATGTAATTTATTTTTTCTCCAACTAATTTGACTTTTGCTTTTTCCTTCTTCTTCTTCTTCCTTAATGTTTCTCAAATAGCTTTGGATAAACTTGGCTCAGTAAATGTTGGAGATGATGTTACAAGTGAAGATATTGCCATCAACACAGCATTTGATGTTACCTCGTTGGTCTTGTTTGGTACAACTGCGTTACCGGTTCGATTGAAGATACTTTTAGATAAGATGTTCAGCAGTTTATCACCTAAAGATGTTATCAGAATACTCTCGGCTTTTGGTTGGTCTTATGAGGATTATAGTCGAGCTTATAAGCTAGAGGTAAGTTCATTATAAACATGAAAATGTTTCATGTTTATTTTAACCCCAAGCAAAGTAGAGAAGATGAAAAAAGCTCACAAATTATGGATAAACAATCAACTTTTTGAAAGGATAAAGATGATGATGATTATCATGACGATCCTGGTTATGTTACTAATGAAAACACTTCACCATGTGACTGGGTTTCAATCCATTTGTGGGTTCAATTGTGAGACCATTTCATGCTCATCATGGGGACTTTAATGGACTTGAGCCAAGCTTTTGCCATGAATCTCATTTACAGTTAATCTTATCCAATGTTGATATTATGTCTGTGAAAACAAGAAAAAAAAATTACTGTTAGACTTTATTTGTTTTTCAACAAAATTCATTTTAATTGATAGGCAACATTCAAGCTTAAACTGCTGACAACTCAAATTATTTTCAATCAACAGTTTATTTTGAGTCTATCCACTGACTTTTTGTACATAATCATCATCTTCATCGCAAGCTTAATCATCTTTGAAAATCTGTACGAAAAAAAAGGCAAAAGATTCCAGATTCTCATGATTATCACCAGAATTTGTATATTCAGAGTTTTCCTTAATTAATAGCAGATAACATTAATTAGCTTGGTTCCAGGGTGGAAGTAATCATTTCCTAGTAATCAATTGTTCCTTAATGTTGTCATGGATAAATTTAGATTAACTGTTACAATTCAACCTCACCTAATCTCATGTTGTCTTTGGTACATACTTTTCACTATTGATATTAATGACTTGCATATGTATTGTTTGACATTGTAAGTCCATTTGATTGTAACAACAATTACAATTTATTGATAATGAGAATCATCAATTTGAATAGTTGTTATGAAAGGTGAAACTGAATCAACTTCAATTTAAGCTCACAACTCTTTTTTCCTGTTACCAAAGTGTTGCTTTATACCAAAGCTAAAGGATTAAATCTCATGACAAGATGTTAATAAGTTAACTAATCTGTTAATCACATCAGAATCTCATTTAATCACTGATACAGTTAATTACCTAGTCGTTAACTAAATGGCTGTTTGTGATTAAATTTATAATAAATGCACATTATCACTGTAATTTATTAACCCGTTTGCACTTGTTTAGGTTGCTTTCCTTTTTGCCAGCTTTTGCTTCTCTCCTTTTAATCAATCAATGTTGAAACAATACTTGATAATTGAGACTAATTGTGGACCAAAGAGTTAATGTATTTGTTTGAGTGGTAAAAGGGAGAAAACAAGAAAATCTGAAAGAAAAAGAAGAAAGAAAAAAGAAATTCAATGGTTAGAATGAATTTGATAACAGAGGAAATGATGGTTGCGTTGAATAAATTGATGGACATTTCGGTTATTTTGATGAAACCAATCAGCATCATCTTAAAGACACTCAATTGGGTGGTCCAAGTCACAGTGTGTTGTTTATACACATTAAAAGCATCAAGTTGAACAAAAAAATATACAGTTGCTTACATAATATTATGCAGACCAATTCATGTGCCCAATACTTTTTGTTTGTAGATTGAGGCTAGAAAAAGCAAGAAGAAACAAGAATATGAAAAAGTAAAACAAATGTTGAGAAAAAAAAATGTAAAGATGAGAAAAAGAAGAAGAAGAGAAATAAGAAAAGGTCAAACTTCCCTTGGTGATAAAGATCAACTTAGCTATCTGAGGCCATGTACATACTCAAGTCATAAACCGACAGTGAACCTCGGGTGGTACAGAGTGTAAGGCTAGTTAAATGCCAATGTGAATATAATAATGTATAAAAATGTTGCTAACTCTGATTCCATACGGAATAAGTCAAGGCTCAATAAGCTAATCCCTTATTCCAACTGAGACTTTACATTTGGTTTACCTCCCCATCACCATCATCATCAATAGCATCGCCATCAGCTTCAATATCAGAATCATTTTCATCCTTTTAAACTGCTCCTGTAATTCATTGTCATCTCCACTTCACATTGAGTTGTTGTTGTTCACTTTTGGTTTCTTTGCTTTTCTCATTTAAACAATCCGTATCCGAATCACCAATTTATTGGATCCTAATTGGTTAAGAATTACCATTAACCATTTCAACTGTTTCATTTTCAATCCTCGGCTTCTTGTTGCTCCTTCCGAATACAAGTTACCTGCACATTACATTTTTATGTTCACTCTTCTTGGGTCATCAAAGTTTCTCTTTATTTTTTGCCAAATTCCTGTGAGAAAATAATAAAACACCAATTTTATTGCATAATGATGGCGACATTTACTTACCTTGCTTTTTATTTTTAAAAAAAGAAGCATTTTCCAATCCAAAAGGCCATTGCTACCTTTTTAATTCGTTGTACAACAGCAAGATGAAAATACTTTTACAGACATTCTGCAAAAATAATAGCTGATTGCAATTGAAATTGTCTCTGTCTTTTAACCTGCCTCTCAATGCAAAGTGCTCCTCTTTTAGCTGCTTGTTTGTTAACTTGTTAGCATATTGCGTGTTCAACATTTAACTTTTTTTTTGTTGCTTACCTGCAATAATAAACTATGTCTACAAAATGAAACCGGTAATACACACTAATACAATCTCTGACCCTTAAATGACCCTCTTGCTTCTCTCAAACCAATCATTATTGATTTTTGTTTTATTCATTCATCATCAAGGTTCTCTACTTCTTGGATTACTTTGCCATTTTATCCGCTTTTAATAGTATCACAACAATATCTTAAAGATGAGGAGAAAAAATTGTTTTAAAGTTTTCTCTCTCATCTTCCTCATCTCTCTCTCTCTCTCTCTCTCTCTAAACTTTATTTCAACTTCTCTTCATCATCATTTTATCCTCTTCTTTTTTACTGCTTTCACTTTTGGCATTCAATAGCATCAATTATTTGTAGATTTATAACAGAGATTGATGGCCTTTTCACTTTCATTCATTTGACAAATGATAAAGATTGGTCAAGAGAAACATTTTTTTCCAAGATAAAACACATCATCATCATCATCTTCTTATAATCATTGTTGAGATTAACTTTCTTTTTATCACTTTAAATTGATAAAAAATTAACCCTAATCATCAGAGAACACAAGTAGCAACAGCAAAAAAAGAGAAATGATCTATTGTTAATTCTTAGAGTTCATTTTTAACTTATCATTAACAGGAGCTAGGAAAAAAATCACCTCCACAAGAAACAATTTAGCAGCTACAGAAAATTTAATTCCAGATTCCTTGTAAAGCCAATGTCCAATGAAACTTCACCCAATTCCTCAGAATATGGTTAAACAATTGAATCTATCCAGAAGAATGAAGTTCAAAAGTAGATTCTTTATACAGCCAAAACACATTAAAAGTAACAAAAGGAGACGACCAAAAGATAACACAAAGATGAAACAACACAAAAATACAATACAAAAATCAATTGACCAGTATCAACCCGAACACAATTACAAACAAGATTATGATTGACAACGTGAAATTAATTTAAAAAGTTACAATATTAAACTGAATTAGAAAAAATTAGCCAAAGTTGAACAGACGGGATGAATTGACAAAAAGCGTCTGTAAAATCATGTGACATGCAAAAAGGAGGGAAATAAGACAGCAGCAACGAGTTGAAATAGCGCCATATTCAAGTTGACCCTTAAAATGCTGCAAAATAATTAAAAATAAAATGTAAACCATTAAATTAATCATCACTTTAAAACAACAATTTATATCAAAAGGTGATTAAGTAAATTTACAAACTGTACAAGCAATAAAAAAAAGGTGAAGGTAAATTATGTAAAAAATTTAGACCTAAAGTTAACCCACACAAAAACAGACGTTAAATATATGACAAAACAATTGATTAATCAACATGTTTCTCCACCATTAATGGACAATTAAGCATAACCAGTGATTAAATAGATTAATTCTGCTTTTACAAGACTCTTAACAGGGTCAAGAATAAATGTTTATGAATGTTTATCAATGAAAAATACCAGTAAAGGTAGAGAGGAAAGGTAAACACAAGCCAAAGCTGATGAACGCGAAACATCAACATTAAAGAAGAAGAAGAAAAATGATGTTTAATTTATTTTCTGTTGCTTGTAAATTGTTAATTGCAAGGTAAAACCGTCAGTATTAACTGAACAACATGTTGATCAGTTGTAAAGATATCATTTTTGATTGTAAATATTAATATAAAGCAACACACAGACTCATATCATTAGCATCATTATTGTGAACCTTTTTGTTCAACCTTCAAGGCATAATCCAACCCATAACCCACCCGGTAATTTAGTCCCTTTGATTCATTGAACAATTCCTATGAACTGAATTCATGAACAATTTAATGATAATCATAAATGAAAATAATTGTCCAACCATTTACCTGTAATCTCAGAGTATCCATGGGTTTGGCTTCAACCTCTTCCAATAACCCAATAAGACTAGGAGAAGAAGAACATTTTTTTTTCATTAAACATTTTCTTACATTAAGGTTCGGCTAAAATGTGATGATCAACATGATGATCAACTTGATTATCATCATTATCATCATCATTAACCAGTCTAGAAACATGATTCTGTGATTGTTCAATGAAAATCTCTTCAAGTCAACCTTTTCAATTGACAATTTCAATTTCCATTGACAGACCAAATCAATTTTCCTCAATTTATTCAATTTATCTCAGGATTCTTAACTATCCTTAACCATTATCATCTCAATCAGTGATTAAAACACCAATTATTTAGATAAATATCATAATTGTGCTAAAATATGGTCTTTTCAATGAAAACATTTCCATTCACTTTATGCTTTAAATGTTTCAGATTGCTAATCACCTTTTCTTGATTCACTATTTACCATTCATCTAATTTAAATATTAAATCCTTGATTGTTAATGTCATTGTTGGATTGAATCTTGATTTTAGCGTTTCTTTCGTTTTCCAATGAACTGTTTTCTTAATCAGTCTGATGATAGTGATTAAAAGACAGTCAATCAATGAATAGTTGAATGTTTTCCTATCAAAAACTGATTCTTTACCATTCAATATATCAACCTCAATTTCATTTATAATCCGATATCAAGTGACACCCAAAATGCTATTGATATTATTATTATCCTGAACGGAACCGAAAAGTAAAGGTAAAACGAAAAGCGAATCAGATGGAAACAGGTTTAGCCCATTATTGATTATGATTTGAGCCTCACAGTTAACAATAATGATAAATGTTATTTATTAGTTGATCAATCCTTCCCTTCTGACTGCACCTTCATTAAAGAATCTTAATGGAAACATTTTCCATCCATTTGTTGATCAATTTAAATCATTTTGATCCCTTCATTTTCACCTGATTATTACTACTTACAGTAGACAACATTTCAAGGTTTCAATTTTTACCCTCAAAATTGAATTGAACACACAACAGAAAACAAAAAAAAACAGAAAAAAATTGGTTCAAAGACTGTTTTCAATATATTTATATATCAATTTCACCAGCAAATTCAACTTGTAATTACAAATGAACGCAAAAGGTTCACCTCTCAACATTGATTCAACTATTGGCTTTACTGATCAAGTTTATCATTGGCCTAAATAGTGAGTTGACCAGATTATCACCCATTTTTTGATTGTTGGGAGTTGACTGATTAATTATTAACAATTGATTGATAAATGTATTGTAAATGAGTGCCAAATGGAAGGTGAAATTGAAGAGTTTTATCAATTTAAATGAACATTTAATTGGTTCAACTGATGATGAACAAAGGAGCAACATGAAGATAATTAGATATTTGTTGATAAAGCTTCAGGTAACTTGGAAAGGTATAATTTAAATTAATCGGAAAGATGAACGGTTATACAATTTAACAGTTTCCCTGGTTTCATATTAACGGTAATTGTTGTTCATGGTGGTAACAATCATGACACCTTGAGTTAAACCCTTTTCATTGTGATAATTAAATGACAATTATGCGGGTTTTGTCAATCAAGTGAACCCAAAAAATTAACCAAAAAATGAAACATTTGAATGAAGCTTGAAGGTTGAAAATAAAATCTCAATCAATTACTGGCTTCTTCATTAAGCTTTTATGTAAGGTTGATGTTTAATTGTAGTTTTTAATGGTAGTGATGAGGATAATTAAAACAAGTCAATGAAGATCATTGATATTGATGCGTGATTCAGATGCATTCGTGTTAAACCTTTTATTATGAATAACTACTCATTGTCACAATTAACCACGATTTTTGAGTGAATTTTATTTTATTTTCTTTCCTCTTCTCGCCATTTCTTTATTTTCCCATTCCGTTTACCTGATCAACCATCTTTACATTCATCCTCTTCTCCCTTCAGGCAAACATTATTGACTTTACTCACTGACCGTGATTCTTGGTCATGCAAAGTGTCGTTCCTGAGTTTCCATTATTACCTATTTTAAACCATTTGTTACCGAAGAGAATCTCTTCTCTTCTTTGTTTTAAAGAAAAATTTCATTTCTTCTAGATTTTCCTTTCTTTTCTTACCTTTTTCTTCTTGATATCTTTTACTGTCTTCTCGCGATCAAGGTAAGCACAAAGTGCGATTAATCTGATTGTTAAATCTGCGCTTTTTTCATAGTCACGCCTCATGATGAGCTTCATTGATTAATGGATGAAACAGTATAATTGAAGGCAACTCATCCTGTTGCTATCATCTTCATCTTCAAGTTTAGTCTATGCCGTTACGGCATTTATTGTCAATTAACCTCTGAACCTTTGCATGATGAGAATGGCGAAGATGGTTGATGATGATGAACAGCCTTCAATGTTAGCCAAGGTAGCAACTATGGCAAAGACAATCTTTTGAACAGGAATTAAAATGTTCGTGAGATTATCAAGATTTTGGTGTTAGATAATGTTTTCATCATTTTCATTTTTCTTAATATTAGATGAAGAGACACTTTCTCTCTCTCTCTCTTCTCTTCATCATGATCATCATCTAATTTGTTTCAAGCCTCAGGGTTACATCAAGATCCGTGACATTTCAACGTAAACGGGAAAAGAAAACAAATGAAACAAATTTGGTCACTTGATTAACTTGAATTATTCTTAACTTAAAAGGTTCGCTCTTCTTGTTATGTGGTCTTAACGCACATCCAAGATCATCTTGATCATCATCTCAACATTGGATCAACAGGCAAACGTTTGCAAAATGTTTGTAAAACAGAAGCAAACTCTTGATCCTTTTTCCTGTTCATCACTCGCTGATATTGTTGATAATAAGCTTCACTGTTGATGATATTAAATATGAAAAATAAGCTTTACTTTTTATAAACATTTTTGCCCTTTTCCCGACCAAACATGTTTCCAATTTTTTCCTGGTTCCTCTGTTGACACTTGTTTACAGATTTTCAACCATTTTTACCTCCCACTTTGATTCCATGATAAGGTGATGAACAAGGTTATCCAAATGATAATTGTGTTTATCAAAGACAATTCATCATTGGAAGGAAACTCTGAGAACAAATTTGCGTATAAACCATCTCAAGACCACCCGTTAATGAGAGTTTATCATTTACTCTGAATGTTGTATTTCCGTTGTTTATTCATTTACAATGTTTGGCTAAAATGATTATTGACTTGCCTTTGACACAATCAATGAATTGTAACCCAATATGTAAAAGTAAATCTTAATCAGAATTGATTTTTTTCTGTAATCAGGATTGAGTTGCCACTTTTGGCAAGTCATTGAAGACTATTGTTCATTCAATCAAATGGGAAAAATGCTGTGAAAATGAATGGGAAAAAATGAGTGTAAAAATGGGATAAAACAAAACAAAAATGAGACAATTTAGACGATCTGTATGTTGATGATGCTTATTCAATTGCAATGTTCATTCAGATGATTTGATAGTTTCACTTTTTTTTCCTTCTTTTTACCTTCTTTTTGTGAGCTTTTTTCACCCAAAAAGGTATTTTTGCCATTTACTTTTTTTACTGCAAAGCAAAGCGTTTTTCATTTTTGTTTGCGCTTCAATTTGTTTTTAGCTTTAGTCAACTAATGTTTCCAGAATGACTCGACTTGGATTTGGTGTAAAATCACCCAAAAGTTAGCCTCTGAATTGATCAATGATCAGTGAATGACGATCATCATATTTATGCTTCATTCATTCCTAGGAATTCATTCAATCATTTTTCAATTTTCATTCTTTTACAATATTTCAACATTTACTTTTCACCTTCTTTGATTGTTGATTGATTGTGACAATTTATTGTCAACTAAACGTGATTGTTGACATTTTTCATTGAAAATTGAACATTCTTTCTTTCAAATTAATGTAAATCGATTCGGAAAAAAAGGTCAACTCAATTAATCAATTTAAACTAAATTAGTTAATCAAATGCTTCAACTTGAAATCACTTGAAATGTCATCATTGATTAGCTTCTTACTAAACTCATTATTATGTCAATTGTAACTATGAGGTAACTTTAATTAAAAGCTAACAATTGATTCGTGATTATTTTAATCATTGAACAAAAGTGTTAATCATTTGGAAAATTAAATAATCGAAATTTTGCCAATAATCTTTCAATGGTCATTACCAGTAATTTTACAGCATTCAGTCAATGTTTACATCTGTAATGTTTAAGTTGACTTTTAAGATGAATTTTTGTTCATTTCAAGAATGAACATTTGTGATTCAGATGATCATTCATCATGAAGGTGACAAGGGTAGTTGAAACTGAAAATTATCAGCTTTGATTGCATGTCAAATTGTTTTTCATTAAAATGGCAATAACAATCAATTTCAACTCTTTTTTTGTCATTTAGATTCTCATTAATCTGACCTGATTAGTGATTAACAATTCGGTGATACTTTGATTAATACCTTTAGATGATTGGTGTTTCAATCAAAAATCAAACATCAAACTTAATCATCAACTGTGTAAGCCAATATTTTCAACCTTTTTTTTTTGATTGAACAATTTTGAATTAGAAGAAGAAGCGAAATGAAACTTTTGAAGGTAAAATTTTTGTGGCCAATCATGATGATGATAGTGTTTATTAACATGATTTTGTCCTGAAATTGATTAAACATTAACATTTTGTTTCAATTTGATCACAACTTGCTTTTTGATTGATTTGGTTTGTTTTTAAATTAAAAATAGAAATGAAAATTTTCTCCTAATAACGATCATTATCATGATTGATTTCATCATTTACTTGATTATCATTAATAGCCACTGAAAATTGATTATAAGTCTAATGTTAGTTTGACTGTTGAGATTTTGTGATTTGTTCAACTCTTTCTTTCTTCTTGTTACCTTTTCTTTTGTATTTTGTAGCTTGTTAGCCTCAGGTAAAGTTAAGGTGAAAATAATGAAAGTTTGGCTTTTTGTTTGTTTCGGTGACAAGAGCAATTATCTGTAGTTTACCTGAGATGATTTAAGATCATTTTGCCCTTCAACCTTCAACATGGCTCAATGTTATTGGAAAAAAAGGGAAACATTTCTCATTTTTCTTCTTCTTCTTCTTTTTGTCTTCCAAAGGTTGAAATTGTATTTTAAAGCCTTTTCAAGTAAACCTTCAAGTTAACTTTCTAGGATCATTTTACAATCCACAACAAATTATTATTGCAATCAATTGAAAATGATTATTATATCAATCAGTTAACAATCAATTTCAAGCGACAACCTTTAAGAGATAAAATACTTTCACTTGTTGCTATTCAATGAGTATCATGAACATGATCAACTAGCCAAGTGGAATCAACAATATTGCTTAATTTCGTGACCAGTTCAAGTTAAAATAAAAAGGTAAAACATGAGAAATGTTGTAAAGCTGATTTGTTGTTGGCCATTTCAACTAATCATACATTTTGAAGGTAATAATCAAGCGATTCAGAGATGTCAAATAATCATGATAAGTGACAAAAAAAGAAGCAACAAATTGTGATGATTATTCACGTAAACATGATGAAAAAAACGCTAGAAAGACTTTGGTAGAAACATATTCATTATGATTTCAAGTAAACATAAAATGCAGGTAAAAATAATAATAAGAAGTAAGCAACAGTTTAGGATGAGAAGGAACAAAGGAAGAGAGAGAGAGAGAGAGAGAATGAAAAATAACTGAAAGACAAGAGGAAGATGGACTCTGTTCGCCTCTCTGACCATCTTGTACCTTTTAAAATGAATCAAATGTTGTTGTAAAGATGATGGTTGTCATCCGTTTTTTTTTCACTGTAGCCTGTAATTTAACGAGAATGCAATTTGTTGTGTTTTTATCAAATCAATACCAACCCTCTTTTGTCTCCTCATCATCATCTTACCCATCTTCATCCTCATCATGGCCATACGAGTTGGCAACGTAATGGCCCTATGGGCAGAGTGACTTCTCCTTTACCAACCAATGGTTGCCCTTTGTCCACTTCCCCTTAATTGTTAACCTTTACTTTGCTCTCCTTCACCAAGTACCACTAATCTAGTTTCAAGACTTCTCTCTCTCTCTCCATTTCATCTTGATGCTCTCGGTATTCACCACCCCTGACTGTTAACTCCCTGTAATCATCTTTACTGTTTATGAGCAAACTACACCAATTACCAATCAACTTTCATTCCACTTTCTCTTTTCTCTCTTCTCACGCTCTTCTTCACTGTCATCCTTCTCCTTCTCTTCTTCTTTCTTGACACATCTTCTCTTTCTCTTCACGATCATCATTTTTACCTGGACTCTTTGACGTTCCAACAATACGCCTATCATCCCTCTCTCTCTCTCTCTCAACTATCATCATTCCTTTTATCCAGCCTCTTCTAACCTCCTCCTCCTCACCATCATCATTATCATCCATACATTTCTCATTCTCATACATTTATCTTCCTCACTTTGTGGCTCCCTCTAACTGCCTATGTGGTTTTGACTTTCCAATTTTGTGTTTGACTTGAAACATTTTAAGATGGACCGATCGACGGTTAACGCGTGACCTTAAGAGTCTCTTGTTGCCCTAATTTTTGTGTGTTAAACTTTTTTTTTTACTTTACGAACAACAAAAATCTCCTCCTTTTTTTTCATCTTCACTCACTTTTCTCACTCGATCCTTTTGACTTGTTTCTTGTTCCTTGCTCATTGTTCGTCCTCTTTTTTGCTTTCATTTGTATCAGGATTCAGACGGTAAACATCTAACTAAATGGACAATGGTCAGTCATGAAGAAGAAATCCTAGTATTAAAACAGCTTCTTCGATTCAACCAAACGAAAAGTGTTGCTCATCATTTCCTTCTCAATGATCCATTTCCTTGGAATGATCTGATGACCGTTGCTCCTGCCGCTGTTACTGCTGCTGCTGCCGCTGCTGCCGCCGCTGCTGCTGCGGCTTCGTCTAATGCGTTAACCTCTTCCTCTTCATCGCCTCCTTTAACTAGTGCAACATCGACAACACCACCAACCACGGCGTCTTCCGTATCACCTTTAAATCTTTTGTCCACCAGTGGATTTAATAGTTCAATTGGTAACGGTAAATCAATTGACAGTGAAATTTTGCGCTTCATTGAGAAAACAAATCGATCTCGACAATCATCCAATAGTGCTAATAGTAACAACAGCAACAATATCAGTAACAATAACAATAGTATCAGTAATAACAGTAATACCATGTTGGGATCGTCTTCACCAAATTATCCAAGCAACTGTAAAAGTCCATCAAATCTTCCGCTTAGTTTAACCTCATTGGGACGATCAATAATGTCACCAGATGATCGTTATCTCAATCACAGTTCGTCTTCACTGACCAAACCTGGAGATTCACTTATAACGGGTAATGCTCCTTCACCATTGAATCGTTATCCATCAACCTCTTCATCTGTTGCTGTTGCTACTTCTTCGTCTACTTGTGCATCTGCTTCCATGCAACCCTTTGACTTTAGGTGCAATTCATCTCGACATCAAACATCTTCATCATCTCCTGTAAATAATTCAATTGGCTTGAAAAGTGATCATCTTTCAAGTTCATCTTCAACACTCGGTGTCAATAATTTATCATTGACTGGCTCTGGTAACACTTTATCGTGTAAAACTGATGAAATTGTTAAAAGTCTTCATAATAGCCTTTCACTTGTTTCACCAAAAGATAATGCCATGGCTTCAAGCTTATTAAGTTCAAGTTCAATTGGACTAGCAGGTTTAGCTGAATCTTTTAAATTATCATCTTCATCTGGAAACCACCATCACCATAGATCATCGTCATCTCCACACGGAAATCACCATCAACACCACCATTCAAACCATCATCTTTCAATGAGAGGATTAACATCATCCTCTTCATCAACAGGTCTTCGTCGACCTCGATCAACAGGCAATTCAGAATCTAGTTTAACTGACGGTGAACCAGGTTCTGATGGTGAAACCGATACAAATACCAGTGAAAGTGTAATAAATTTGTCAGCCGGCTCATACGATATGTCACTATCCAACTCTTCACTATCCAAATCATCGTCCCGTCATCATCGTAAATCAAATAATCCAATGAGAATGAAACGCTTAAATCCAGTTGTTCTCAGTCAAATGACCACCAATCCATCAACGGGTAAAAAACGAGTTCCTTGTAATGTTTGTAGGAAAACCTTTTGTGATAAAGGAGCGCTTAAAATTCACTATTCAGCTGTTCACTTGAAGGAGATGCATCAATGTACAGTTTCAGGGTGTACAATGACCTTCTCATCGAGGCGAAGTCGTAATCGTCATTCAGCTAATCCAAATCCTAAACTTCATACGCCAAATATGAGGCGTAAAATGAATCCGCATGATGGACGATCAGCTAATCCTTACCCTTTGTTACAAGGATTAGCACCAGGGTCACCACTTGATTTTGGCTCACCATCAGCCAATGTTTTATCATCTGGTGGCTTGTTGGGTGGAGTGTCGGGTGTTAATCCGTCAGGTCGAACTCTTCTTTCCTCTTCGGGAGGAATCTTGGGTCAAGGAAGTTCTTCTAATCATTCTTCAACTTCACTTGTTCCTTCATCTCTACACTTACAAAGTAATCATCCTCATCCATCTTTATCTGCTTCAGTTCATGGCTTTACCTCAGCTCTATATGATTCGGAACGAGGTAATCCCGAGTCAAGTCAGTTAACATCGTCATCTTCAATCTATACTGGCGATGGTAAAGATGGACATTCTCGTGACATGTCACCCTCTTCGTCTCGAGATGCCCATTCACCTTCTGAAATGATGATGATGATGACAACTGGCTCGACAACTACAGCAACAACATCAACGACTACAGCTTCAGTGCCAACATCAACAACAAAAGGACTATCGTCACCATCGACATCTAAACCATTTGATCGGGATGGTGAAATGTCTGCCCTTTCATTAACCAACAAAAAGATGAGAAGAGAAGATGAAGAAATGATCTCTTGTGATGAAAATAGTAATGAACCTGAAGAAGGAATTAATCTTAGTGTTCGCCGTAACTCTAGATCAAATAATAACAATGATAATAACAATAATCGAGATAATGATTCTATACCATCTAGAGTATCAGAAAATAATAATTTATTGAACCGTAATGACAATTTTAATAGTAACAACAATAACAGTGATACTTCTACAAACAAAAGGAAACGTAAAAGTTTAAATCCAATTAGATGTGAACCATCATTAATTGAAGGAGCATCCGATGAAGAAGATGATAATGACGATAATGATGATAATGATTTACCCGATTCATGTGATGATTCTTCCAGTGGAACGTATATTGGACGAATGGAAGATAATGAAATTGTTAATGATGACGATGATGATTCTAAAACTGAAGATGAACAGGATGATGGTGATGACGGTGATGATGATGATTCCTTGGATGGAAGTTTACCTTCATCGGTTCGTCGTCGTAAATCCAATAGATCTAGAAAGTCAAATATTGTTGATAGTAAAAGACGGTTTGAAAAAGAGAGACGAGAAAGACAAGAACAGGGCTCAGCTGATCAACCAGAGGGCGACAATGACGATGATGCCATGGGTGAAGAGTTTGAAGACGAGGATATTGGAACTGGTAGAGAAGAAGAAGATGCTTTTGGTACCATGGATTTATCCAAAAAAAGTAATCGAGATAGTTCAAGTAACTATCATCATCCAGAATCACTTTCATCTCGATCTCGGAAACCTCTTTCTGGAGCTGACAATAGTAAAGGTGCTTGTTCAACTGGTGATGTTAACAATGGACGTAACCATTCATCGTCTTCATCGTCTTCATCTTCAATCATTGCTAGTGGCCATGAGAAGGAAAATTGTGGATTACCAAAGTTACCCTTTATTCCAACTGGATTACCATTGGATAATAACTCGTTCCGGGATAATACTGAAAACAATCCTCTTCGTCATCTTGAATCTCTTTCAATGGGATCCTTTTCGGGTTTAACAGGGTCAACAACTGGATCTTCAATAACTCATAATTTGCATTCTAACCTTTTCCCTGGATCGCCAGCTCTCTCTTTTCATGCTCCTGGACTAGGTTTGGGTCGTCCTGAAATATCAATGAATGAGCTTAATGATCGTAAGGTGAAGAAAGAGTCAAACTCTGAATCTCATTCAACTAGAGAGCGAAATCGTTCTGAAGAACGAGATATTTCTTCTGGTCATCAACATCATCGTAGTTCCAAACTTTCATCGTCTACCTCGTCACTCTCAACAGTCTCATCTTTACACCATCATCAACACTTGTTGTCCTCATCATCCATGAACAATGGTGGATCCTCTGGAACCAGTCAAAATCAAGATGTTAAACTTGAACGATCTGGTGAATTAGATAACAATAACCATCAACAATCTCAACTCAATTCAACCAGTTCATCATCCTCATTGATGAACAACCATTTCACAAGTCCTGTTCATCCATCAACCTTGCAAGGTTTAACAACACCGATCTATCGTGATGCTTCATTAATAGGAACAATTGAAATTCCAGTTGATAAAGACAATCCTCGTCGCTGTGTTACTTGTGGTAAAACCTTTCAAAATCATTTTGGTGTTAAAACACATTATCAAAATGTCCATCTCAAGGTTATGCACAAATGTAATGTTGAAGGATGTACTGCGTCTTTTCCGTCTAAGAGATCCCGAGATCGTCACTCTGCAAACATGAATCTTCATCGTAAATTATTGTCAACTCATCAAGATAAAGGAGTTCCTTTTGGTCTTGATAAGGCAACTGCCGCGGCAGCTGCTGCAGCCGCAGCAGCAGCAAGTGGAGCCAACGTTTTATTTCCATACACTGGTGCCAATGTGATGAGAGATGATTTATTATCTCGATTCTATGATTCCTCTTCTTTTAATTTATCCGATCTTTACTCAGGCCGAGTCCCACCTGATTTTTTGGCTGCAATGACAGCCTTTATGCCATTGTCAAATTATCCTCACACTTTTACTCTACCAACTCGTCCTCCCGGGTCAAGTACTGGTGATATCCAAGGTTTAATTAGAGATAATTCATCGCCCCAATCATCCAGCGGAGGAAGATTGTCTACAGGATTATCTAACAATACCAATAACTTGGGATCAACAACGACAGCAACATTAACCTCAACAAAAACCAAAAGTACAACATCAAGTCCATCTTCACCACCGAACCGTGATTACTCTTCACCTTCATCTTCTTCCCATCATCACCATCCTTCCGAACAATCTAATCGAAGATCTGTCTCTCCTGTAGCTAATTACAGTTCATCATCTGGTAATCATCATCGTCGTTCACACCATCATTCTCATCAACATGAAAGAAGATCAGTTAGTCCATCGGGAGGATCAAGTCCACACAGTAATCGAGCTTCACCAGAACCCAATGGTCATCACCATCATCAATCTCGTCACTTGTCAAATCATCATTATCACCATTCATCTCACCATGAACGATCAACTGAATCGGGCGCTATGGGCAATAACAACAATAGCAACAAAAATAATAGTAATAGTAAAATTATAAATAGTAACAATAATAATAATAATGTTGATAAACGTAATCTCGGCCTTTTGGGCAAAATAAGTGTTTCTGATTTATCTACCGAGCTATCCAAATTTCCACCCGTTGTTGATGGTAATTTTATTTGCGTCTTTTGTAAATCATTGTCATTTAGTGAAAGATCAAGGTTGAAGGATCATTATGATTCAAGCCATTACGAGGAGCTTTCTCAATTTTCTCGAGAACCTTTCAATAAATTGTTACTATCCTCACCCTCATTGACAGTTTCATCGCCACCACCACGACAGTCACCCTCTCTAGCTCCACCGACCTCTTCTCAACTAACAACCGGACGATCCTCATCAGTATCATCATCTCCTAATTCATCTCCAAACTCAGGAGCTGGATTAACACCAACCTCAACAATTCCTTTTTCACTTTCACCAATATCATCATCATCACATCTTCAACGATCCTCATCGCACTCACCTCCACCGCTTTCATTGACAAATCACCATCATCGGTCTCACCGCGAATCAGCTTCACCCATTTCCTGTTCCAAGAGTATTCAAGACTAATTCAACTTGAATTGTTAAACCCAGACATTCTGAATCTCAATTTAAACGTCCAACCCAATTTGATTACCAATCTATTGCCAGGAATACAAATTTAGCTAGAAACCAATGAAGAGCCGAGGAAGCAAATTAAGAGCAAAGAAAAACAAAAATGCAATTGACGTCAACTGCATCATTACAAAATTGAAAATGGTTAATTAATATATCTGAGCTGCCAATTAATTCAAATCTCATTAAGAAACGAATGAACAAAAACATCATCATAAACATCCTTACCATTAGCGTCATTATTATTATTATTATCATTAACATTATCATTACAAACATCAGCATCATTGTCATCATCATTATTATTGCTATTAACATTGCTATTATCATCATTGTCTTTACTTCTTCTTCATCATCTTCTTTGTCTTCAATTTACTTTCGCTTGCCAACAATTTTTCTTAATTGATAATTTCAGACTATTTGATTGGCCTGATCACTCTCATTGAATGGTTTAAATCGATGCTGCTTCGTTTATTCATTGCATTTACTTGGATCTTAGTAATTGAAAAAACAACAATTAAGACCCAAAGAAACAATTTACAAACCATCAACTGATTAACAAATTGCACAATTAGGTAAAAAAGCAAATAATCCTACAATTATTTGTAACTCTGTAGTTAATAAACAAACAAACAATTATGATGATCATTTTTAAATTATCAAACTTATGAACAAGCGTTGATTAAAAACATGAGCTGTTTTTTTTTGATTTTGAAAACAATCAACAATATGTAATATATATATATTAAATATTTGCATTTAAACTGAATTTCTCTGTGTTCACAATTATTTCAACACCTTCATTAAAACCGTAAATTAACATTGATTGATATATTCATGTGAACATTATCATTAACTAATGAAATGGTATGATTTGATGTGGTTGCTGTGATCAAATTTGGAAAGGTTTGTCATTTGATTGCCAATGTAATTGCAAGTGGGAATACAAATAACCATTAGTAGCTGACAAGATCAATCATGTTTCCTATCTGTCCATTAAATTGTTAAACGTAGACGGCAATTTGATTCCTGAAGACTCAATAGTAGAAAGATGAATTAGTAATTATGGGAAAATGAAAAAAGAGGAAATAATCAAAAGGATGAGATTATCTTGGGTATCATTGAAAATGGAGAAAAGTACAATTAAAATGATTCTGTGATTTGACTAGACATGTTTTTGTTATTCGTAATAAAAGGCTTTTGTTCATGAAAATGATCATGTGATGAAAAATTCATCTAGATTAGTAAACAATCAAAATATAATATTTTATTGTAAGAAAAATAAACACAAGTTCATTGAAAAGTCGCACTACATAAATGGTTAATGAGTGAGTAAACAATTTGTAACAATTCAATGCATTGAAAATATTAATTTATTTTATAATTTAATGAATTTTGGCCAATCAGTTTATTTCAAAGCTCATTCTGGATCAATCACAATTTCAGGCTTTTTATGACAAGATATTTTGACTAATTAAATTAATATTTTCATTACTTCGTTACTTTAATCATGACAATAAGTTAATTACGCATAGAAAATTATAAATTTGTAATATTGAATCTTTAGGAATAGCCAATACTGTGCTTAGTAGATTGGAATAGTCATTGGTCTTGGACGTTGTCCAATGCCATTTGGTTGAGTCAATCTGTGCGATTTCTCTGCTTGAGTAATTAAATCAACAAGTGTTTTGATTATGTGATCATCGGAATTAGTGGAAGGCTTGTTTGGCGAACTAATTCGACGAAGGAATAACGAGTGCCACTTTTTACGAAGACGAACAATATTGGAATCGCTTGCTTTGAGTCTGAATAAGATCCAATCATCAATTTTGAGGATTTGATCCCCTGATTGTTCCCTTTCCAAATCACGACTAGAAGATTTTTTGCGATTAGATTTTTTGGAAGTAATAGATTCAACAACGTTATCAGATTTGGAGGTTCCAGCAAATAAGGCAACAGTAAGAGGACTGATTAGAGTACAATAACGTGCATATGATTTGAATCCAATGCGAGATAAGGAATCAAAAATTAACCATTCGGATGGCAGAGATTCAAGCAATTTAACATGATTCTTAGGACGGTTTTCTGAGGTTTCAATTAAAACGGATGATGGATGGAACCTGATAGAGGAATCTTTGTTAGATATTAAGTTTTTCTTGCTCAGATCAACTTTTAAAATATTAGGGTAAGCACCAGCACAGAGCGCAGCTTTGATAACTCCCCAATGATCTGAATTTATATTGAGATCACGAATGTCTCCAGGTCCACGAGCACGAATAAAGCCGGAAGCCCGAAGTTGACCGAGTAGTTGAGCTCGAGTTCCAGCAATCATCTCCATTGTAGCTGATCTAACGAAATTGGCATTGGCAAATTCATATTCGAAACCATCTTGACGAGCTTTTTGCCATGCTTGAAATACTCGCAACAAGACCATATGGTCAGAGTAGGTTTCGCTTGCCAATTTAGCCTTGGCTTTCACTGCAGCAGGTTTAAGACCTCGATCATTTGGAATGTAAACTAAAAGGAAAAAAGGAAATTGATAATTTAAATGAATTATTAAATTTCTAGTTAAAAATAACGGGTAAATTTTCATTGATCTCAGAACTTCATAAAATTCAACAAAATTTTCATTAAAAATATGTATAAGTCATAAGATATAGAATTAAATAGCTGTGAAATAGTAGCTGGAATATGCTTTTTATCTCCAATCTTATGGTTAAATTGAAACCTAATATAAGATACAGAATCAGTTTCAGTTTAAAAGAACTAATGAGAATTAAAATTTATGAACAATGAGTCTTTGAAAAACAATTTCAAACACTCACTATTAACTGCACAACAATAATTTGTTGGAAAAAAGTTCAAATGAATTTGACTAAACGTTTAATTATGAAATTTACCGAGTTTAATGAAAATATACTCTAGTCAAAAGATGAAAAAAGATAATGACTACTTACATGGATCACGATAAGCTAAAGTGCAGACAATGGTTAAAACTGGATCCAAGCATTTTAATACAATAGCGTTGAGAACCATTTTTCCAAGAGTAGGGACAAGAGGAAGGTCTAGAAGATGGAATCCGATTTCAGTTAGCTGCTCATCTTTGTCCAAAGCATCGATAGTCTAAATGAAAAAATACCATAAATAAAGATAAGTAAGAAAAATAATTTGATAAGTCACATGAACTTATGTTTGATTCAAGTTGAAAAACTACCTTAAGTAAATTTATAGAGCTTTTCAATGTAGCCATTGGTGGTGGATCAAGTGCTTGGCTCAAAAAATCAATAATAGAAACGCCTTTAGGAGCTAAAAGTTTCGTTTGTAGGCATAATTCATGAATAGGCATGCGAAGGATTTGTGGCACTTGAAAACGAGGCATATTGAGAAATTGAGATTTACTGAAAAGATGATAACAGTAACCACTTTGACAACGACCGGCTCGTCCGCGCCTCTGAATTGCATTAGCTTGTGATACCCAGGTTGATTTGAGCATTGTGGTACCGAGATTCACATCATAAGATTCTTCTTTAACTTTGCCGGAGTCAATCACAAAAACGACATCATCAATAGTAATACTGGTTTCAGCGAGGTTAGTGGATAAAATAATCTTTCGAACTCCAGGTTTAACCGGATCAAAAACTTTTCTTTGGTCAGAGTTTTGCATTTGTGAGTGCAACATAAATATTTGAAAATTTGAATGATTCAAACGGTGATCATTTGCAATTCTATCCCGAAGTCCAATTATTTCATCGTAACCAGGTAAAAAAATCAGAATGGCACCTCTTGAAGATTTGAAAGCATCATTATCGGACTTTGAAATGAGAGAGATCACTTCTATGATCAAGTTTAAATCAACGTCGTCAGTTGGGAAGAGAGTATTATATAAGCTGGCTATCTTTTTATCTGCCTCAGTGATGCTCAGCATGAAACTGCAATAATCAAATTTATTGTTATCTTCTAAGGCTTTACGGTTCCTGTAATTTATATAAGCATGCAATAATTCACAGATCTCGATATGATTGAACTGTTGGGCGAAATCAAATGCAACCCAAGAGTTATGTGATTTGAGATCAACATTGGCACCTAAGCCCAAAAGAACCTCAACATATGAAAGTTTACCACGAGCACAGCAAACCATCAAGGAGGTGAGACCAGTTTCTGAATGTTGATAATCGATAGGATAGCCATCATTGATTATAAGACTGAGAAGTTCCTCAAAAATTTCATCGCTACCATCTCTAAATGCTTTTTCCAAAAAATCATCAAACAAATCGAAAGCGAATTCTTTGCTTTCCATAGCTGGAGCACTTTGATTTAATATAGCTTCTGGTAAATTGACAGAATTGTAGCTTGAAAAGGCTTGAAGAAATTTTTGTAGTCGTTTCTTCTGTTTTTTAGACTTGGATACGATATGTTGTGAGACAATTTGACTGTTTAAGTAGTCAGTTTTACGGAGTATATCTTCAAGAAAAAATGTTTTTACTTCGTGAGAGATTCTTGGAATCGTTATCGAAGCGCAGCCATCGAAATATTGAGAGAAGCGAGCACTATCAATTGTAGCTGACATCAGGATTAATTTTAAATTTCGTTTGCGATCCAAAAGATTACGAAGAGTCAAAAGTAGGAAATCAGCAAACCTATCTCTCTCATGGACTTCGTCAATAATAATATGAGTTACGCGGTCTAAAGCGCTATCACCTCTCATTAGGGTACGAAGAAGCACACCATTGGTACAGAAAGTGACCAATGTCTTTGGAGAAACCCTAAAAATTAACAAAATAGCAGAGGTGAGAAGTCAACAAAGTCTGATTGCTTGAATAAACTATGATTGGAGGACGTAATTAAGGACAACTCACTTGCTTTCCAGTCGTATTTGATAGCCAACAGTTAGTCCAACAGCTTCTCCACGCTCTTGAGCAACTCGAGCAGCAACGGATAATGCAGACAATCGACGAGGTTCGGCGACGACAATACGACATACATGTTTAGTCTTGAGGCAGTGATCCAGAATAAATTGCGGCACTTGAGTTGTCTTTCCACATCCAGTATCCCCACTAACCAAGATAACTGAATTATTTTCAACAAGGGACATAATATCATTACGTAGTTTCCATATTGGTAATGATCTCCTAAACTGGGTTAATTGGTTGTCTTTCGCTGGCGGAGGAATTTGCGGTATACCATCAGTTAATCGTCCGATTAGACAGCTCATATTAAAAAAAAGTCGAACAGTAATAGACTAGATTATAGTTCACATGGAAACAAGTATTATGTGGTAACAACAGTTAAATGAATCAAAACCAGTAACCAAATGACGATTTTTCAAATAGGGCGGTTCACGTTTTCATCGAAGGAGGGAGCTAGTATCACCAAGGTAACTACGGCTAACACATAAAGTTTCCTTTTCCGGTCCTTAAGAAGTTGTTGGTTTTTCCGAGTGTATTAGTGTTAAATTTAAGTGATTTAAGGTAATTAATCTAGTTTTGTTAATTATTTTTTGTTATTTAATGTTTTAAATTATTGTCCATCTGTTAATCGTCTAAAATTTCTATTTTTCAGTATCCAAAATGGTCCGGGTAAAAACTGTTCACAGTAAAACCTATGTTACTCCTCGCCGTCCTTTTGAAAAGGAACGTTTGGACCAGGAATTAAAAATTATTGGTGAATATGGTTTAAGAAACAAGCGTGAAGTATGGCGAGTCAAATATGCTTTAGCTAAAATCCGAAAAGCTGCTCGAGAGCTGTTGACTCTGGATGAAAAAGATCCTAAACGTTTGTTTGAAGGTAATGCCTTACTTAGAAGACTTGTTCGAATTGGTGTCTTGGATGAATCTAGGATGAAGCTCGATTATGTTTTGGGTCTTAAAATCGAAGATTTCTTGGAAAGACGTCTGCAAACCCAAGTTTTAAAACATGGACTCGCTAAATCTATCCATCATGCTCGTGTTCTCATCAGGCAAAGACACATTGCAGTTTGCAAGCAAGTGGTTAACGTACCTTCATTCATTGTCAGGTTTGTGAATTTTAATTTCTAGCCAATGTCAAATGATACTCATGATTCTTCTTCATTTCTCAATTTAGATTGGACTCTGAAAAGCACATAGACTTCTCCATGAAATCTCCATTCAGTGGTGGTCGACCCGGTCGTGTTAAGAGGAAGAACGCCCGTAAAGTTAAGCCAGGAGCTGCTGCTGAAGAAGAGGATGAAGATTAGACACTCTGTTTATAAGTTTTGATGATTAAATAAATTAACATGGTGAACCACAAAATATTGTTTTGTTTCTTTACACACTTTTATTTATACGTCATAGACTAGCTTCATTACATTAACCTTTTGACCGTCTTTTACGGCCTTCTGAACATCAGATCTTTCTAATATTTTTGACTTCACCGTATTTTCATACTGGCGCATCTTATAATATTGCCAATCTTCACGTTTGTATTTAAATTGATCCCATGGATGAGAAATTTCAATATCAGTTTTGGCAGCCCATTTTTCAAAATAAGACTTCAATTTATCGAAGTTTGATTCAAACTTAGGATTTAAAAAGTGACCAAACGGTTTCACTTTGCCCTTTTCAATCATCCAAAGTAATTTGTCAATTTCTTCTATCGTCAGGCTCAGTACATCAATTATTCTTTTATCTGCTGGAATTTTGAATTGAGTCATTTTTTGCATAACCAATTCCATTGTAAAGATATCTTTGGATAGACATGCTTTTTTCATCATTGCTCCCATAATCTGGATGTTTGGTCTGAAACCAACGGCTTCTAAATCCTTTAAAAGTTGATTAGCAGTTTTAACATTTTTACAGCCAGAAGCAAGGACACCAAAAGTTGCTAAATCAACAGGAATATTATTTTTTTGCATGTCACTAAAAGTTTTCTTAGCAGCAACTATATCACCCCGAAAACAACGTCTTTTGATGATTATGTTGTAGAATCCTGTGTCAGCTTCAACTTTACTTTGATGAAGTAAATGGATCAAATTATCCTCAGATTGATTATCTTCTGGTATTAGGTCTAACATAGCAGTAAAAGTTTTTATGTTTGGCTTTAATTTTTCACTTTCCAAAAGAAATAGAAATCCTTCCATGCCACCTATGAGAATGAACCGATTTTTCCAATCCTTGAGAGAATCATAATCTATATTTAAAATATCACCCATTCGATTGTATTTAGTTGAAACCAGAAAATTAGGAATATCCATCATCTTATTTTGCTCATCCTGTACACACAATTCGTTTCTATTAACTGTCTCTGTAATTTCCATGTTGTAATTCTCTGTTTCCAATTGCTTAACACTCCCATCAGGCAAGTAATCGTAAATTTTGTCGGAAGTGAAACTAATCCTGGGTGTTGTTGATTTTTTCATGTTGACTCGTTTGGGAGGTAACTTTTTTTCGTGGTATAAAATCTTTTCAAAATTAACCCACTCATGCAATAACTTTTTGAATTTTTCCCTATCTCCGATTTCGCAGCTTTTAGTTGCTCTTAAAAGAAGATTGTATGTTTTTAAATCTCTTGGAACTTTGTGAAATCGCATTCGACGATACAATTTGATTGCTTCACCAAATCCACTCTCAGGTTGACTAATAGCAGCAACCAATAAATGATTGAAAGTTGATGTGTCGATAGCAATCTCTTTCTGGTTCATTTCATCGACTAATTCATAAACAGTCTTAATATCACCAAGTTTTCCAAAAGCCTTAATCATAGCATGATAATGAGTTTGGTGAAGAGGTTTACCTATTTCTTGTAACCATCTTCTTAACCATTCTGCTTTCTGAAGGCCCATCTCTTTGAAAGGACATTCGGCACAAGAATTGAACAGAGAAGTAAATGTAGCATCAGTAGGTTTGAGCTTGTGTTTTAAAGCTTCTTCGAATAATTCAAATGCCTTTTCAGTGTATCCATTTTCGGCCGCACCAGAGATCATTAAAGTATAAAAAAAGGGACGCATCTTTTTACGATCATCTCTTTTCATCTCGTCGAATAATTTCAAGGCTTCAACAATTCTAGCTTTTCCATGTTTATTATGGATCAGCAGGGTAAGTTTGTATTTATAAAATAGAATATGTCTTCTATCACGATTAATTTCCAATTGATCGTAACCATCATCGTCATCAGGTAAACTTTCAGCTTTTAAAGGCATGACACACTCTTCATCCACACCAATTTTACCAAAAACATCTGCATCCTTAGAATCGAGTGCAGATCGTAATTTGGGCTTAAACTGTTTATTACCTACAGAGAGTTTTCTATCAGCGAAATATACAACTTTAAAACAATTTGAGTAACCACTTCGAATGAATTGAGAACCAAATCCATCCAAGAATCGTATTGTAGAAAATTTCAACATTACCGTTGAGTTCTTAAATGAGATAGATAGACTAATCAAATCTCTCGAGTTTCAGATGTCATTGAATCATCAACCAATTTAACAGTTTGAACGCAATTAATATCACTTTTAGCAATTGACGGAACTTAATTTTTCATAACAAAACTGAAACACATGTTGGTTGCCTTAGAAACGAATTTTAGCGGCTTAGTCAAATCAACATTTCTCTGAAATAAACTTGCAATTGTTGATTAAACTAATTGAATTAATATTCATGACATAAACTTGCCAATTTGATTAACTGTTCATTGGAAGCCAATTTAAACAAACTGGAACTTGTACACTTTTAACTTGAACACTTGAAATTAACAATAGAAAACTGATGCAAATCTTGATTTTTTTTCGTCAGAAAATTGACGATAATTTGTCAATGTTTTTATCAAATTGAGTCAGTGAATAATTTTTGCATGATAGGCTGGGTTCAGAAACTTACTAATCACCAAGAAAATTAAGGTCAACGTTCAACTGGCTAAGATAACCTAAATTGTGAGAAATCAAAGAAATGATGAACAAATACAATGTTTTGCATTGACTTCACTGTTATTTTGCTATGGATGGTTTTTCATCGCAACCCAATCACAGGTCATCCGAGCTGATTATTTTCACTCTATTAAGATTAATTTAGCATTTTTGGCAATTTTACTTTTCTATAGAAAGAAATCGGAAGAAGTAGAAGTAAAAAAGTAAGACAATTTATCAAATTACGTTCAACATTTCATCTTTTCTGGCTAAGTGACTGATTTGATGTTAATGTATCGATAAAGTGATTGTTAAATAATGATAGTGATAATAAATGTAATGTTTTTCCTTTACACCATCAAAAGAAGATACATTTATTAACAATGAATTATTGATGAACTCGTAGTGACGACTTTTAACTGTACATTAAACAAAAAATAATTTATTAGAAGATTATTACTGGTCCTTTCAGCTAAAAACTGTGATCGACATGCAAAAAAGCCAACTGAGTTTGCCATAAGGAAGTAAAATAAACTGGCAACGTTTATTTTTGGTTTCACATGCTGCTTGTTAAGTTAATTTGATTTAATCATTTAACTTTCTCCTAGTAATTTTATAACATTTGTGTTAGTTACTGGTGTTCATTTATGTGCTCAACTACCTACAATTAATACAATCGATTGTATTGTTTGTGTATGTGTATGTGTAACCATCAATAATGATTGACCATTTGATCAAGTTCTAAAGTTCCCTTGGGCTTTGCATCTCTAGGTTACCAAAAACAGTTGACTCTTTACAACACCACTTAAATACTAGTCTTTCACCTCTAATGTAGGTAATCAGAAATCAAGTTTCAACCCTCTGATTCAGTTTAATTAATTTCATGTAATCCATCATCTTTTTCCTTACTCTTATCTATCGCATCCCCTTCCCCACTTCCACCTGTCTTAGTCATTTACATATTTACATTGGATTTACAGTTGGAACTACATGTGCCAAACCATGGATCGGGTAAGTAATGTTTTGATTGTGGTTTAATTTACTCTTAGCATGAACTTGAACCCTTTTTAATCCTTGTTCCATCCTATTGTTGACCTTTCAATCCTATCCTGTGATCGTCAAAGTATGAAGTAAGAGACTAATGATTAATACTGTTGATTTTGTAAATGTTAGATCTCATATGAAATTAAAGAACTGGTTGAAACTCATAGGCAAAGCAATGAAGTGTTTAAGAGGAAAAAGATGCTTCGACAGATAATTTACAACATGCTCCGGGTACATACAGAGTTCCGTAAGTTGAATTTACCATCAATAATACAAATATGACATGAAAATGCAAGCATTTCTCCGTCAGAATGATTGCTTTGTCAATTTTTACTTTCTGCGAAAAGATTCCGTTTTTAATTTGACCTTTTCTATTTTGATTTAGCTGTCGACCTTTACATGGTTGGTTCATCGTTAAATGGCCTCGGAACCAATAATAGTGATATTGATCTTTGCTTGGTTATTGATAGCATTGGAGAAAAAATGTGTCATATGCGTTTTGCAATTCCTGTTTTAAAATGGGCTGAAAGGATATTATCCAGACTGCGTAAGTTTCTCTCTAGTATCCTTCAACCTTTGGAGCAAAGAGAAAAAAAAGTCCATTGTCTGCAAATTATGAAAGTCTATTTGATTAAAAGTATAGGCTTTTGACATGAAATAGATCTATAAAGAATTTCATTAATTCTCATCTTCCATTTTCATAGATTTTGCAATGATTGACTTTCAGGATTTGTGATTGACAATCCAGATTGATACTCGACCTTCACTGACAATTGAACTGACCAGGAAATTGTTTTCTTTTTTCTATTTCAGCTTTTGTTAAGAACACTAAATTAATTTTGGCTAAAGTTCCTATTTTAAAGTTCACTGATTCTGAAAGTGGCATCGAGATTGACCTCAACTTTAATAATATCGTTGGAATAAGGAATACACAATTAATAGAATTTTATAATAGAAGTGAGGACAATTAACTATTTAATCATATATCAACAAGAATTGTTTTACTTATTTAACAGCCAACTTTTCTTATTCATCTCGCAGTGGATAAACGATTTCAATCTTTGGTATTAACTGCGAAAATTTGGGCTCGGCAAAATGGTATTAATAATGCACGATTCAAAACTATCTCAAGTTACACTATTGTATTAATGGTTATTCATTATTTGCAATGTGAGTTTTTTTCATTACATCTTGATTAGTCTTAATTTTAATTCATACTTTGTCAAGATAAATTGAAAACTTAATCTTTCTTTCTCGTTATTTCAATAGGTGGTTGTGATCCTCCAGTTTTGCCTTGTCTTCATGACTTGATGCCTGATAAATTTCATCCTGATTCCGATATAACTAAATTAAGTTTGTTTGAAGAAATACCGGAATGGCAATCTTCTAATAAAAGTTCTTTAAGTCAACTGTTCATCGGCTTTTTAGATTACTACAGTTACAAGTTTGATTATGTTTCCAACGCTATTTCCATTCGCACTGGAAGCACAATTTCAAAAGCCAAAGCCCGTGAACATAACTCGCCCAAGAACAACCCAAAACATTGGAATTATATTTGTGTTGAAGAACCTTTTGATCGTACCAATACAGCCAAATCAGTGTATGATGAAGAAGCCTTTAATCATATATTGGATGTGTTCCGTCAAAGTTATGCAAAGATTATTAAAACGCAAACTTTATCAAGCATCATACTCAACATCTCTCCATCACTATCAACCATGTCCTGTGGTCAACATCAGTATCAACATTATCAACCATCACTTTCAACCATGTCTATTTTGCTCAATCAGCAATGTTATCCCTCTCCCCATTGTAAATGCTATAGATTGGTTTAGCGAAAAATAAGCAGTTTCTGCTTATTTCACCTAGTCACCTAAATCCCCTCAATTTTTTCCTAGTTGTCTTATTTTGTTTACAATTTATTAGCTCAATTTATATTGTCAATTATTTTCAGCTTCAAAAATGGAGCAATATTACTATATGCCTTTTTTTCAATGTTCACCTTTAAAATTCCTAATTGCCTTTTCCTCAAATATATATATAATTTAGTATAAAATATAAAACAAAGTTTTTCAAAAGAGGCCATCTTGTTAAAATAAAAAAAAACAAAATTGTGATGGACAAAAAACAGTTTCCCTTTATTTAAATCAAATTAGCTAAATTTATTAAATTATTTAGATGGCTTAGTAGGCTTTGTTTTTCTTGCCTCTGCTGCTTTAGCAACGGCGGCTTTACCACCAGTAGCTCCTTTTGGTGCTGGTTTACTTCCTGCGGGTTTTGCTGGTGCGGGTTTGCTTGCGGTAGATTTAGGTCCGGATCTATAAAAATAGGAATGAATGGTAAGAATGAAATAAAAATAAGTAAAATCATTCAATCAATAATGTACAAAATCCATGAATAAATTCTTACTTTGCTGCTGGTTTAGTTTGAGCAGGAGCTTTGCCAGTGGGTTTAGAGGTCTTTGCGGGTGCTGGGGCTTTACCAGTTGCAGGTTTGGCTGCTGCTGGCTTTGTTGTAGACTTTGCGGCTGGCTTGGTTGCTGTTTTAGATCCAGTTGGTTTACCAGAGGTCTTAGTTAAAGTTTTCTGTTGGGGTTTACCTGTGGCTTTAGCAGGTTGCTTTCCGGTTTTAGCACCAGCTTTACCTTGAGGTGCTGCAGTTTTAGCAGTAGTCTTGGATGATTTAGCGTCTTTAGCGGAAGATTTACCGCTAGCTTTAGCAGGCTTAGCTGGAGCAGCTTTAGCAGCAACAGTTTTACCTTTAACTGTTTTAGAGGCAACAGCGGGCTTACCGGCAACACTCTTTACTGGTGCTGCAGCCTTTCCAGTAGCTTTTTTAGCTGCTGGCTTGGCGGCGGAAGCAGCAGTAGCCTTAGCTTTAGCGACCAATTTGGTTGCTGCCTTGACGGCACCCTTGGTTGGAGGAGCTTGGCTCACAGATACTTGTCTAGATGAAAGTCCTCCTGAAGATGCTGAGGATCGACGGCGTCTGATTTCTGAAAAGATGAAATAGAAAATTGAGCAATCTTACAAGGTATAAGATTCAAAAATGAAATATTACCTTCTTTTCTGAGTCGAGCTTCCTTCATACGTTGAGTCAAGATTTTCTGGTATTCAGCTTGAAGCTCCCTTTGTTTGACTGCTCGGTTTCTCTTAAGAGCGATCAATCTGCGTTTACGCTGAAGTCTCTGAGGAGTGATTAACCTTTGGATTTTAGGGGCAGCAGTTTGAGGTTTCTTTCCTGCTTTTTCAGGAAGCGGTCTTCGAACAACATATTGACGAACATCATCTTCTTTTCCAAGGTTAAAAAGTTTTCGAATTTTGTTAGCTCGCTTAGGACCCAGGCGACGTGGGATTGTCTTGTCGGTCAATCCTTCAATCTCTTGTTCACCTGAACAAAATATAAATCAGCAGTTAGAAATGAACACGAAAGTAATTGAAAGCAAAGACTTACCCTTTTGAACAATAACACAAGCAAGAACACTCAAGTTGCTATCGACAATGCACCCTCGGACAGACTTTCGTTTCCTTTCACCTGTCCTTCGTGGTCGATAACAAGAATGACCTTTAGCTAAAAGTAATCTAACACGTTGGTTTGTGAGAACTCCTTGTTTCATTGGGAAACCTTGTTTGTCGTTACCACCACTAACTTTCAAGATGTAGCCTTTCCATTCTGGTCCAAGCGTTGAAGCATCAACTTCTTGACCCATACGCTTTTCATAGAAAATCCTAGTTTTCATCTCATCATCGATATCAATCAATTTTTGGCAACCAGTTGCCGGATAAGAAATGTTAAGCTAAGGAATGAGAAAAGAGCGATAACAAAAAATGAGATGACCGGTAGACAGAAAAGTAAATTGAACTAAATATAAAGAAACAAACAAAATTTATTCAATAGCAATAAATAGCCCTTACCTTCATGGTTAGATTTTCCTAAATTAATCAATCAAATTCATACAATAACAAAATTAAATTAGATTAAACTAAAGGTTTTTCACAAGATTAAGCCAAACATGAGAAATATCTGTATAAAACAACGCGATTAAAGGAAACGGAAACTCACTAAATCTAAAGGAAGCTAAAAATTTACTCGATAGATGGCGCGACAGTTAAATAAAGTTAAAAAATTAAAACAATTTAAAATAAATAACTCAAACAATTGAGATAATGAAAGAAAATAAATGTTAATTGTAAAAATAAACTGACAATTAAACTGAAATATTTGAAGATAACGAAAATCTAAAAATTCAAGGCAAATCGAATTCATTCGATCAAAAATTGACTATCCATTGTCAACCTTATTGTAAACCTTACTTAAAGTTTAATTGACAGTTTCATTATGAGCTTTCATTGAAAATTCAAATTCAATTACAGATACAAAAATCCTTGAAACTGTTTCAAAAATTCAGATTGATTTTCGCGATAATCACAGACAATACAAACAAATAACTCAGTTACTATCCAATAGACTAATCAACTACAATCTAGAATCGACTTCTCACATCCATCACTTTTCAAGAAAGCAAATCTTACTGAAGAAACTAAATTCAGCAAATCTACCAAAAACCACCAAATTGTTCATCATGTTTCGTTATGATGAGTATGAGCTTTCCTTCAACTGAGATTCTAGTTCCAAAAGTGGGGATTGATTTAGTGAATGTGGTCAATGGAGACCAGAATTGAAGTGGACAATAAGAGAAAGGAAAGTAATGGACAGTTTTGTGGAGCAAAAGTGGTTGATAAAGCAGTAAATGTGGAGACAAAAGCGATTCCCAACTGATTTTATCGGTTAATAAATAATTAATAACAAAATAGAAAAGAAAAAAAATTTCGTGAACGACAGGATTCGAACCTGTGCGGGAAAATCCCAATGGATTTCTAGTCCATCGCCTTAACCACTCGGCCACGTCCACGCTTTAAATCGATAGGTCCAAATTTTTAGTGACATAAAACGCAAATGAAGTTTAATGATGTCATTTTGATAAGGAAACAAAACATTCATTTATTACCCAGAATTTTAATCATTTTTGCTGTTTTTCTGTGTTTAATCTAATTTAGTTTATTCTGTTTCAAGATTGATACTCATTAAAGTGATAAAACCGGTCCTGGGTTGTTACCTCTGAATGAACCTGCTTTGTTTCATCTCTAACCTGACAAGTCCTTTGAATAGCTTCTTCAATATGAATGTAAAATCTTCAGTAAAAATCATTTCAGTCTCAATTTTTTCGCTTTGAATTTTAATAACATAACAATTTAATGTTTTCATGTAACATAATTTAAAAGATATTTTCACAATTATTAGATGTACAATTGGATGTGTTTAGAAGTGTTTAGTTGGTTAGATTTGAAAAGGTTAACCAAGGTTTAAATTCATTCAATGCTTATTTAGCTTTACAAATGGACATTTTGCCTCAAAATTCAACATACACAGCAAAATTGTACTTTTAATTGCACTGATTATTTGTATTATTGATTAATTTCATTATTTATGTTATTTAAATCACCAATCAACATGATTTAAGTATGATTTATTTTGTTGATTCACTTAAATCGATTGAAACTGGCAACATTTAATTTTTGGAACATGAAAGTGAATCTAAAATTGAAAGCTTCTGTTATTAAACTGAATTAACCAGTCTTAACAAACTGACTTGGACAATAGTTGACAGGTTAGTTAATTAGTTTGTCATGATTGACACAATTGCAATCAAATTACACTAAATAGTTAACCTTGAATTGTTTTTCAATCTCGTTTAACTTTCTGGAAAAATTTGATTTCATTGTGAGCAATTAACACTTCGATCAAAATCTTTCTCGTTTCAAGCAACTTTTCACTTCAACCTGCAATCCTTAATCTTAGAAATTAATAAAATTATTTAAACAGTTATGTTAACAATAATCAAACATCAAGACAAAATAAAGTTGATTGTAAACAATCGATGTATCGATAATTTTGAAGTAACAATCAATCAAATGTGAAGCAAATGTAAAAATGAAAAGGCCTGAGAAGTCAATCAATTTTAGCTTTTATGGAATGGATTCAAAGTCAATGTAAATTGTAATGGAGTAAACAATTTATTAATAACTGTCTGTAAATCTGATTTTGTCAATTTATCCTTAACTTTAAGGAAACAATTTTACTGAATTTAATTTACTTTCTTACCTTTGATTATCATTAAATTGACTCCCTAAACGTTTCTCACTCAATCTCACTGAATCCATTTATAATAATCAACATTTCTCATGAAATGGTCAAATAATGTTTAACCATATTAATATGAAGTTATTTTAATCAGTTTTTAAATTTCAATTTAACCAGAAATTGTTGAAAGCTAGGAACCAGAAAAAGGATAAAAGTAAAACCATCGAAACCAAGTTCACAGAATCATCTCTTCCATCATTCATTGTGATTAGATTAACAAATTATTTAATTTGCAGGGTTAAAGATGCAAATCAATTGTTTGCAGATTGTTTTAATCTTAATTGTGATGTGTTCAAATGTTTCAGGTAAAAATGTTGATCAATTTTGATTGTGAATCCAATATTTCCGATTTTCACTTCTTCCGTAAAAAAGCGTCATCTGTTATTCAACTTTTCAGCTAAATGCTTTTTCCCTCTCTTTTTCAACGAACAGGTCAACGTAAATCATGTCCTGTGACAATAGCTGAAGCTGATACTTGTGCTCGTAAATTAATGTTTGAAGGAGATCGAACTCGATTTGTGCCAAGAAATAATGAACAAATGGATGAACATTGCAGGTAAGTTATTTAAACAATTAATGTTATGTTGTCAAGTGTTAATTTTATTTTCTCTTTTGTTTCTAGTATGATGACAGAACATATAAAATGTATTGAAAGGCATTCAAGATGTTACAAGCCATTTGCTAAGCAAGTCTTTGGTACTGCATTATTTCATCTCAAAAAAGCCCATAAAAGACGTTGTTTAACTCCAGAGGGTCGTCAAGGTAAGAAAATTCATCCATTTACCCATTAACTTCAATAGTATCATTAAGCATCAATTTAGTTTAAGAGATTACTTGTTTTAAGTTTAGTCAGCTGCTGTTGGATGATCAAATCTTATTAGTATAAGTTGTTATACAAAAACTGTTTATTGAAAGTGAACTAGAATTGGTAGAAGTGTTTTTATATTGATATTTAATTTAATTTGATATTTGCTATTATGGGCCTTAAGATTTTTGCTCCTAAAGCTGTCCAAGTTCATCTAAATATCCCAAATTTATCCAATTGTTTGCTTGAGATTGTCTCATTGTCCTTTTGCATTTGGGTTAATTCAATCTAAAACTGGATAATAAATTTGATATGTTCAACGAAAATCGACAACAATTGACCTTGAATAAATATTGTTACTTATTATAAGATTCTTAAGATACAATCAATCTTCAACTATCAAAATGATCAAAAGTAAAAGAACTGAATAAATAACAAGTTAATGTAATGGTTTATTTCTGCTTCGTCTTCTTATGAAAACAAAAACAGATTAGATAATCTAATACAGAATGAACTTGACCTCAATTTGCTTGATATTTTATATTCAATTGATAACAAGTTTCACTTTTTTTCTGCCATGAAATTGTGTCAACTACAATGTTCATTATTTTACCTCGCCTTATTTCATTATTATACACACTGATCGCATCAAATTTACTTTGAATCAGCTTAAATGACAATCATTAAAACGGGGAAAAACAACCCAAAAATCGACTATAAATTTGTCCAAATTAAATCAAGTATCTAATAAGCTATTAACCTGTAACCTTCGAAATTGAAAATAACTAATCCATGGTCATCTCATTTTGTTTACAGAGTTCCTATTCCACATGGGATGCATTAAAGATGAAAAGGCTTCAGAACCAGCGCATCAATGTTCAGACAAATGGAGTATTATGATTCAAACAATTTCTTCCAATTTCTCATCTAATCAGCATTTTCCTGCTTTCTGTTGCTCTTTCCATCTATTCCGAGAGTGTTTATTAACTCGAGTCAATGATTTATGTAAAAATACAACTGGACCCGGAACAGCTAAATATATTGAAGGAAGTATTTCCGATGCTGTCGCTGATTTTATGGACCTTGCTTGTAATAAACACGCAAACAAGGAACAATGTGCAACTAATTTACCTAGAGGATTCGCTCGGCTCCAAAAGATCTTCAACAAGGATATTCCACCTCAGAATACATCACCGTTATTCCATTTTCTTCAATTTGCTATCAAATATGATCAATAATTGTTCATAATCAATGTTTTTTTACCATTCACCACTCGTTCAACTATTAGTTTTATTAATTGAAAGTCAATTCAATTTAATTTTTTGTTTCTATTTTCGCAATGTTTTGACTCTTAATCAATAAAATTCAATTTCATTTTATCATCAATTGTACTTGTTCCTATTTATTTGCTATCTATTATTTACCTTTCTCGGCGTCCTTCAAATAAATGATCAACATTTTCAATGAAATTGGCTTAAATGACTTTTACCTTTTTGAAATCAAAATATAAATACTTATTGGTGCATGGTTTAAAAAAATTTATTTAATCATGTCTGCCATAATATGGAAGACTTATTTTCTTAAATTCATCAAGAAAAGGTTTCTTTCCAATAAATCTTTGATCAATGCACCAATTGATTCATGATCAACACCTAAGTGATTCTCTAGTTAGCATCGGAAAGGGTTTGGGCTTTTGAAGGTGCAATTTAGTAAAATGGTGTGAAAAAGATGGACCAATAAATCGAAAGTCGAGTTGTTTAAACATACAAAGTTATCCTACAGTTGACCAATTTGATTCTTTTAGTTGGTGTTTCCACTGTAGAACAGCATCCGATCAAAATTTGATGATAAATCCAAACCAGGTTTGATCCAAGCTACATCTAATGTGAATCAACATCAATATTAACTGTTAGTTGATCAAGTCAGAGGTGATCTATAAGGATCAGGTAAGCAAGGCAAAATGGAATTAAACTTTTACAAAGTGAACAGTGACAATCATGGTTATGAGTTTCCCATGAAAACAGAGGAAAATTTGCGTTTGCATCAGCAGCAGCACATTGAGATCGGTTGAAATATAATCAATATCTGCCTTGATTTATCGTATTTGCACTCTTTGAAATGTTGGTGATAAATTGTTTGGGTCCATGAAAACGAGAAGAAAGGAGTAGACCAAAAACAATTTTTCGGCATTTTTGAGTTTCGCTTTCTTTTGACTTATGACAGTTATTAGAAATTATTATACTGAATATAATATGAATCTCTCTATTTATGGTTATAATCACCCAAAAAGGATCAAGGCAGAACGGAAGTGAAAATTTGATGATTTGACCAAGAATGAATGAAATTTTATAACCAAACGAAGGCATCACATTTGATTCAATTGAAATGAATTCACCATCAAAACGAAGTTTCCAATAATCTTTATAATTTAAACAAAAGCTTCCGATTCTTGTTCTTCTTGAATGCTTTGATGTGATGATTTTTTAGTTGGTCCTGAGTTAGAGATGAATGAACGATATATGGATTCCGTTTTACTATCAATTGAATAATCTCGTCTTTCCATCGATCTATAACCTGTAACAATGAAATTAAATATTAGAATGAATAATAAACTTTGAACAGTAGCTTTTGTTTTTCAATAAAATTTGTGCTAAAACATGCATTGCATCTTTTTTCAACACAAACTCATGCCGTGTGGGGTGAAAGGTTGGAATGGCACTAAATTGCATTGAGGAAAGGGGTATGAAAACCATGCAAGCAAACAATCAAACAGATACAAATCAAGCCAAAGCTAACTAAGAACTAATAGAAGCAGAATGACGAGGAAGAAAATTAAGCCACTGGTAAGCATTGTTTGTTAAAATATTGCACATATTTTGAGTCTAACCAGAATCAGCTGAAAACCATCCAGACTCATATTTAGTAGTTGGTTTGTTAACAGAATCGTAAGAATCACTTCTGCTTGACATTTCCACTTTATCCGCTTTCGATGAGCCATTGTTTGGACTGGATTGATTCTCTTCCTGCTCTAAGGTAGCTCGCAATTGCCATAATTCCCGGTACTCCCGTCTGTTGGTCGACAGAAAAGTCATTTTAGTTAACAAGAGTTATCAACTCGAAAAACTAAAACTATTGTTGGTACGAACCTAATCGTATCAGGAGATCTACCGTCATTGTCATCCTCTTCTTGGGCTAAATTGTAAAGAATCAGTTCATTAGATTACAATTGTACTCTGGTGAAGAAAACAACAGACCCCGTTGATTAAGTGAAGAATCTGATTTCAGGAATTGTAAAATTTGAAACTCAAAAGTTTGATTTAAAGTCTGTTTACCATGCAAGATAAGTACAACAATCACCAAGAGCAAAAATCAATCTAAATCAAAACAGACCCATTAATGATCTTTACAAACCAAGCATATTCATACTCATAATGATTGGGGTGAGTTAATTGTGCTTTGTGCATTTTTTGATAACAAGAAAACAGAATAATCAATATCATTGTGATTAATTGTGCTCATTAATTCTGCGATGATAGCTGATTAGATCTGACAAGAGAAACAAACTCATTTTTTGACTTGATAACACCTAGAGCAATACATTTTTGGTTAGTTCAAGTATTGTTATACCTTTTATTTCTTCAATTATCATTAACGTATGATTCAAATTGTTTCCAAGATTCAAAAGGAGTTTATGGTGAAGCGAAATTCGCTTTATAACCTCGTAATTTGAGGTCATATGTGGGTGATTAGACTGGAAATCGCTTGAAACACAAGTGGAAATCGAATCAGAACAAACTTACCCGTTGTGTTAGTTAAATCAATATTAATCTCCTCATCAGGCACCTCAAAGCTTTGTTGTCGAATGATCCCTCCAGACGATCGACGGTGGCTGGCATTCAATGGTTTATTGGCCTGCCATTGAATATTAAATATATCACGCTAAATGAATAGGAAAATGAATAACTGAATATAGCTTACCTCATCAGTTCTGTCCGATTCAATTACTCCTCCATTTTGTGTACAAAATCTGAAATAATGAGATAAAAATAGAGTTAAAGACTGTTCTAGGTAAACAAATTATAAAATTGTAACTACCTAAGTACATGTAGCTATAAATTTATACCAGAATATTAAATCTGTGGATTTCTAATGACAGTTAACAAATTAGGAGGTTAGAATTAGAAGCTAACAACAAGCCTGAAATTCCTATTTATTAAACAAGATCACAGTTAATCTCTATGACTTCAATTATGAAACAAGCAATGTAATTAAGAGGCCTAAAATAACACTTATAGACATTCTAATTTCAATAATTATTGAGTTACAAAATCATAGATTGACCTTATTCATTGACTTACCTTACTTGAGCTGAATTATCTAATTCATTGTTGATTTTATCGTTATTTGAGTGATGAGCTTGGTGAAACGATGATGATCTAGGTGATATGGTTCTATCTTCATCACTTTCTTCAACATCAGGTTGTTGTGAAACTGATTCCTCTATACAACAGCTGAACAGTTCCATATTATTGTCATCAGATGATGTTGTTTGTCTTTCCAGTGTATAAGTTCGTCCTGAGCTTGTATAATATCTTGATCGTGTAACAGTTTCTTTACTCTGATAATCATCATGTTAATGTTACCAATGATGATGGTGGATAAACATATAGAGAAATGAACAAGAATAAACAATGAGTTAAGAAAAAAAATCGATATTGGAAAAAAGAATGTGAAATGTCATCAATCTCTCTTCCAAATAATATTTACACTGTCAACACAGGACGATAATGTAAGCAAGTAGAAATCATTAACCAAGACTTGACTTTCTTTTCGTAACAAAATCAATCAACTGATGATTAAGCGAATGATATCATAAGGTTAAGTTTCACTTTGCGGTTAAAAGTAGCCACTTTGGTAAAACCATGTGATATCTTTTGATCGTGGGAACATTAGTGTTAGTCAAAGATTACCATTTGACACTTTGAATGTTTCTTTCTTTTTTTTCATTGTTTATACGTGAGATGTAAGTTATTTATTATGACTTACCTTAACAAATAGATGGCAACAAATTAGAACTAAAATGGCAGCCAAAATAGCAGCTCCACATCCAGAAAGAACAATTATAATAGCGAGGTTCTCATAGGAATCATTAGGTTTCATAGCTAATATCAACACAAAAAATAACAGTTTTTATCCAGTTTTAGCCAAAAAAAGGAGAGATTCTTTGGGCCAATTAACTATGGTCAATGTTTTAATCGATAAAAATTGCAATAGGCTTCAATTGGTGATCTTTGGTGTGCTGTTGTTTACTCTTCTCACTATTAGTTGAATTTAGGTTTAGTATAATTTTCAAGTTTTACAGTTGATTCAAATTATTTTGTTTGTAGGCTTCATTTATAGCTTTTAATATCTTTTCAAGTATCATTTGCAATGTAAAATATTAAACATGGAACTTTATTGAATTAACATGGATTGGTAGGCACTTGGACTGTTATATTGAATATGGAAAAATTGCAATATTGAATGGAACAGATCCAGTTGAGATTATCCTTTAAGTTTAAATTTGATTATGTTGATGAACCAAAGAGTGTAATGTAGTAATTGTGTTACAAGGTGATAGCAGTTGCAATCGGAATCAACAAATTGTAATCAAAAAGTGAAGAAGCGAAAACATTTTGATTTAAACTGTAAACAAGGATTCCAAAGAGGAATCCCATTTAACCATTAGAGTTACTCCTAATTCCAGGTCACTGAAGGTGAAAGGATCCTTCTTACTTTGATCAACCTTTCCATGGTAAATATTTTCCATATTTTTTTCATGGAATAACATTGAACTTTTGTCACTCGAGGAGAACATTACACAATTGCATGATGATGGTCAATAATTATAAGTATATCCTTAGTTGATCAGATATAGATGAAAGCTGGTAATTATAAGAAGAAGAGTCATCTAAAGGGAAAATAAAAAATGAAACAAACCATGTTCATCATGTTATGTTGCTTTACTTTGACAACTTTTCACACTGACATCTAGTAAATGGGTGATGTTGATGAATTTAATGTTATGATGAAAGTAACCAGAGTCTTTATTCTCATGGTGATGGAATGGTGATGTTGATACTGATGATGATGATGGTAATAAGGATATGGGAATGTCATTTGTAGTTTACATGATAATAATGAGAAACTGTGTATAGATGTCAGTAGAGTATGAAACTCAATATTAGTATTTACAAGATTCTTACATTTCATATTGGAAAGATTGAACGACCAAATGGAGTATGTGTAAGTTTCAGGGAGAGGATAAAGGTAAAATGAATTAAATGAAAGACAAGCGAAGAGAAGAACAAACGTAGAAAAGGGAAAGAAGATCAGAATATCAGAATATTCTTACCAATGGTAATAGCCAAGAGAAGATGAAGAGCATTGCGTGGGAACCAGCAAATCTGAACAATACAAATTCACCTTTGATGTATACATGTAAGATGAAGACAAGGTTGATGATGGTAACAGTTAAATGTCAACTTGATAAACATGGCTCCAACACTGAACCTAAAATGATACCTGTAAATCTGATTTTACCTCTGAACAAAATCTCCTCGTCTTTATAAACTCATTTCTTCCTCAACTCTATGTTACAGTAATTTATCCTTTTGACATCATCTTCCTTTGTCTTCCTTTCTGTGTGTGTTTTTTTAATATTACATGCGAAATCCATCCACTTATTTGATTCCCATTTTCCGTGTGGTTGGTTAATTGTTTACGAGTTAATTTACCAGTCAACTAGCCTAGTGATCCATTATATCGATCCAACTGAACTATTTTTAAGCCATATCATCATCAACCTCATTTTCATTATCATCATGTATAGTTTAGGTGAACAATCTCTCTATTTTATTCCGGTTTTATCCTTTTCCTCTGCATCTTCCTGTGACGTCAATCTTTTCCTGGATTTCTCCTTTCTTATCGTATTCATTTCATGTTGCTCTTTATTTCTTTTTTTCTCTCAACTCTGAACCATCTTCATCTTCACCTTCATCTTCAGTCAATCTCTTTTGCGAGAAAAAATCCTAATTTAAATCTACATTCTAACATTTGACAGTTGAATAGTAATACAACATTTACCTTCTCAACTAGGATCACGAATAATAAATTTCAAGCTATATTCAACATCTTATTTCTGTCTTTGTCAGCATTTCTTATGATAACTTACCTCATTTTCACTTTTTTTTTCTTTTACCTAACAGTCTCACTCATTTATATTGAATATTACCTGATCAACATAATTCTGTTGACAACAGAATTTCTCTTTTTACTTATTCAATATGTTAAGTTGAGTTATAAGACGAGCTAAAAAAGTAGTTCAGTTAATCAGCTTGCAATTGATTTGCAAAGCTTAAGGCAATTCTCGAGAGTATTGTCACGGTATTGTCTGTTGCTGAGAAAAATGTTTCGCCTTTTCAACTTCTCTGTTTGAATGATATCAATTAACAGTTTATTGAATTTAGTTCAATTTTACATCAACTGATTTAAGTAATTGACTTATCGAATGGATTGAAATGAATAATTCACTCACTTATTGTTGTTGTAATTCAATTAAATTGAACAGCTTTTTGACAGTTTTTACACCCTGAAACCTTAGTTTAAGATAGAAAATGATAGTTATAAATCATTGAATGTTAAATTAAAAAGTAAAAATAAATCATCGATAGTTTATTTTACATGAACCATCCTTTTGGCGATCTTGATTATGGATGGCGAACAAAATTTGTAGAAAATGTTAACATCAGATGAGAAAACATTTGATTAAACGTATTAATAATCTGAAAAATAATCTTTCCATTTACCCTTACATCAATTTTCAGAATACGCTGTTAATTTGATTCATCACAGTTCTGTATGGTGAGCTGAATCCTTAGCTTCTGTCTTTTTTTCAGGTCCAGGCATTGTTGGCTTAGTATCTTTACTTTCAACTTCAATTTCATTTACCATTGTGGATGATTGTTTCGATTCTTCATATTCTCTCATCAATTCCTTAATTTCATTGTCATAAGCTTCCCATTCGGGTAATATTCTTCGAGCTGCAGTTAATTTTGGCTCTTTTGTTTTAGGATTATTGCATAAATCAATAGTTTTAGCTTTGGATTTCGATCCATCATCACACCAAGTTTCACACCAAAGCCACTCTTGAGGTAATGATTTAATCGGTACCTAAAGTAATGAAAAGATAACAAGTTATAATTAGAAATCTAATTTGATGATAAATAAAATAGAAAAATTAATAAAAAGTTTTAAATACCTGATGAATCATATTGTTTGGTAAATCTTGATCAAGATTACTCAAACTATTAGGATCTTGACTTAAACCTTGATATTGTCCTCTTAACCGATCTCCAGCAGCGATACGACGGAATCTCTGAAGATCAACTACATATAAGGCTGAAATGTGATATTTTCGACCATGTAAATGATTGGCCCAATAACCAGTTTTCCAGAACCGGAAACCATCCATGTCTTCTCGACTATCGCAGAAGGGAGTGTAACCATAAGGTGCACCCTCTAAATCTAAATCACGAAGTTCAGTGAGATCAACTCGGACAACCTGATCAGCATCAACGAAAATAATCTTTTTTACATCCAACGGGAAAAGAACATCGAGAAATAGAATCTTGTATCCCCAAATAATTCTTTGCTTTTCTGTTTGTTGGTGTAACCATCTAGGCCATTTGTATTGTACTAATTCGTATTCAAAACCGTATTTTTCAGCCATGGTGGGAAGGAAATCTTTGAATGTAGGAGACAAGTAATTTTTAAGGAACCAAAATTTAACTGGTGTTTTGGTGTGTTTAATTACACTCAACATCATAATTCTGAGAAGTCTTTCATATAGATGACCAGAGGCCAAAGAGAAAATGTTTAACTTTTCAGTTTCTTTCTCCTGAACTCCATTGGTCTGCTTTTTCTTAGATCCACCTGTCCATGAGCTGATTGAACCCCATAAGCTATTTTCATCGTCATCTCCATCATCATACAGTAATTCTTCGTCTTGTTTGTCAGGTTTCTTATTTACTCTTATTTTAACTACGTTACTTTGGAAACTAGAGATCAAAATGACTACATTTGAACTATCTGAAACGGGGTCTGTGTTCTCATGACTAACAATAGAGTAGATATCGTCACTTCTTCCCGGTCTTAACCGAAGTGTCCAAGCACCAGGGTTAGCTTTCAATTGGAAATATCCAAGATTAGCCATGACAATTGTATCAGAAACATCAGGATCACTTTTAGAGCCTAAAATAAATTGTAAGCCACGAGGAGGATTACCAGTCGATTGTTCAAAACAGTGTCCTTCCAATAGAAGATATTCAAGTTCAAAATCAGCCCAAACACCAGGACCTTCAATTTCTTCCAAGTGAATGTTATCAAGATCATAAGGGGAAGTCACACTTTCAACCAACCAATTTTCTGGTGTAATCATACCAAGAGTAAACAAAGGTGATAACGGCATATTGCCAAAATATGCATCTGTATTCAATAGTTTGGAGCCTTGGGTATCAGCGAAATGCATCTCACTGTCGATAACATATCGGAAATAATTTTTAAGAGGCATATCCGAATGTTTTTCAATACAATTTAGATACACTCTGATGTTAATATTGAAAACTTTCTGCAGAGCCATCAAAATAGGAGCAAGTTTCTGGGCTCCTCGAGATAAAGGTTCAACAATGGCTGTGACATCAAGTGTTGGCAGTTCAGGAGTTGATGAAGGTAAAATGATTGCACTATGTTCTGATCCAAAATTTTGTAACTCATGGCGCATTTTATTTATAGATGATGATGATAAAACATTGCTTATTTTCATAACAAGGTTACTACAGATTGCAGGATCGGACTTATCATTTGTATCTAGAACCTCCAAGATTTTTTGACCGAAATTCAACATACCATGTCTTTCAACGAGGCTGAAATCATCCTCGACAAATGACTCATTGGTTGGAATCTCAATCACTCGACCATTGACAACAACGCCAATTTTAGAATCATCCAATTCGATAATTTTTGAAATAAATTCGTGATGCAAATTGAATAAGGTAGTATCCAGTTGAATGTTTTTGAAAACTTCTTTGAAATCGTCTTTAGCTTCCGCTGGTACCAATTCATGTGCATTTAGAACATTATCTAGACTTGTATCATGCTCAACTTCAACAAGATATTTAATAAGGAATGAAAGCGTTGACTTTGCGTCTCTAATTGAGCTCAGAGCAGCTTCAATTGTTTGAGATACTAATCCAACATTTGAATAGATGATTCCGAGTCTCATATGTTGATTGTTTGAACGAAGATAAGAAAGAGCAGATAACAGAATTCTCCTTCCTTCCTTTTTCTCATAATCAGCAGCGATCCAAAGTGTGATTGGAGAACAACGTTTCTCATTACTTATGATGTACTTTATTCGAGCTTGGAAATTGTTCAAACTGAGTGTACTGCTCACAATATCAGTTTCATCAGAAGGGCTGGCAAGTGTTTCATCCGGCACAAGATCAATAATTTTACCTTTATTATTGAGAATTCGTTGATTGAGTCTAGGCATAACTGTTTTTTGAGACATGAGCCAGTCAAGAATATCTTTTGATTCAGTAAGTTCGCCCTTATATACAGCTTTTTGAATAGTTGGCGTTTGTCGCATGATTTCAGTCAAAACTGCCTCTTCAAAAAGTTCCGAGTTAAGATGATTCTGAAATAGAGAAAGAAATGGTTTGACAATTTTTCTGAAAAATTCCGATGGAAAAAATTAAATCGCAAAATCATACCTGTTTTAATACAACACCATTCATCAAAACTTTAATTGGAGAAGTCAGACCAGTCCTTTGGAGAAAGTCCCAAGCTAATTTACGCCCAGTATCATAATTAGAATCTGATCCAAATACTAAATCAAGATCAGCCTTGGGGAATTTTGCTTTTAACAAATTGACGACGCTCTCTGGATTTAAATCTTTCTCTTCAATGCTATTTGATTTGATAGATGCTATAACATCCGTTAAGAACGAAAGTCCATCATAAGGAGTTTTAGTTTCAGTAATGTAGTTGAATGCATTAAGCAAAGCGACTCCGGCATCGTTGAATCCATTAACTGACATATTCTTATTGACTGCGAAGACAAATCCAATTCGAAGAGGTGCTTTATGGACATAAAACGACTCGGCCAATTTAATAATATCAAACGATTCTTTTTTACTTGGATCTATGATGAGCACAAGATGATACATGTTTTTACGAACATTTCTTAACATTCCAGGATAAGTTGGTCGAAGCATATCTTGTAAACTTGATGACCAGCTACGATACATCTTATCATTTTCTATGTCATTGACATACATAACAGCAGAATCTCTGATATCGATTTGATACTCTTGTTTATCATCGTTGACATCCAATTTGATTAATTTTTTGATTTTCGCTTGATCTTGGCCAATAACTTTATGGAGTCCTTCTATGAGTTTTACTTCTTTCTTCAAGTAGTGAAGAAGAGTAAAAATATCGGTTGTATCCATATCAAAAAACATACCATTTACGAAAAGAGCTGAATCTGATGTTCCCAGATTGAGATGGTGCATGAAAATGTGCTGGTTCCGCTCAACTTCTTTTTTGAGATCATTATCAACTGGAATATTTATCAATGTTCGGGATAAAGATGGAAAATTTTGTGCAATATCCTTCAAAAGTCGAAGTTGGTCTTCTTTGGGAGAGCTTATAATCTTTTTAGCAGCCTGTAAACTCATATCTTGAAGTTCCCAAACTTTAAAGGTGGCAATTTCTTTCATTGTTTCAATTAAATGAGTATGGAACTCATTGATTTTTTCAGCGCTATCCGGATAACTTTGTTTCAACTTTGAAAATACAAAACCTTCAAGTTCATCAGGCCCATCATCTGATTGTAATGCTAATGCAGCAGATGTAGCTTCACCTTTAACTCGAGTATCATCTTGAGCCTTGTATTCAGTACTTTTAATGGCTAGTTCAACACCATAACCAGATAGAGATACTTTACCGGGTTTAACAAACGGAATGTAATGTCGTATCAATAATTTAATTCTGCCCGTATCTAAAGGAATAAATAAATATGGTCAATAATAATTGAAAACTATTGAAAATGACTATTCTTACCAATAACTTGGGTCTTTAAAAAGTTGTACAAATTAGAAAAAGATGAGCTTGGGAAATGACCATAGAGAATGGCAGTGATATAATTCGCCTGTGACGAGCTTTCAGGATGAATATGATCTGATTTATAAATTAATGGACTAATGAAAGAAGTTTGAGCCGATAATAATTGAGTCAGAGTGCTTTTAGCAGATTCAACATCACAAGCAAATGGTATGTCATTTTGAGATGATGGCCGAGAAAATTCAACGAAGGTCGGACAGAATATATCACTACCAATAATAGCATTAGATTCACCATTACCGTCTGAATCTAACCCTAAGTCAACTCTTTTGTCTTTAGACATTTGATTAAACATCTCCACTGTGGGTGAATGAGAGCGTAGAGACAAACTAAATTTAAGGATTGACTTTTTGGAGGGTGATAATAGAGGCAAGGTAAGCTGAAGTATTCTTTCATAGTCATCTTGGAAGCTTGATGAGCTAATATATCTATCAGCAACTGGTTGACTTGTTAATGTTTCCAAAAATGTCCAGAAAAGATTATGAGATTCCTCCCACAGGTATTCACTGGCCTCCGAATAAAGACAAGTTTGATTCCATTTACTGAAAAGAGATATTGTCACGGATTTAGATGACTTAGATGACGAACGGCTTGTCAACACGTTGACATTATCCTCATTGTCACCGGTGGTAATATCAAATACCAATAACAAGCACAAACATATGTGGATAAGGTTGATTTTCATTTTGACTTGTCCACCAACCTGGCCCAAGCAATTGTCAAGGGAACAAGGCTAACACCTTCGGTAGTTTTTGCACTAATAAAAATATTTACAGACGAAAGCAATTAGATCATCTTGAGATAAATAATTGTGAATAATCAATAATGAATAATTGAAAGTCTAGACACTAGAGTTTATGAAAATCTAGAAAACACCATGATTTACGCATGTCCGCCGCAGTGGCCCGCTCAGCATCCAATATTCAAAAGTTACGATTCTAACATAAGTTCAGTTACAGATCATTATGTTCAGTTCTTATTCAGTTATCAGTAGATGATCACATAAGAATTTAAAAAAATTAAAAGAATTTAAAATTAACAAACAAAAATAACAAAAAATGACTCAGAAATAAATAATTCTGACACGAGGTGGCGTAATAGCTAGGTACATATAATATAAATATCAATCCCTGTTAAAGATAGTCTCAAAATTGTAAAACATAAACAACTGACTTATTATATTTGTGATTTTTAATAATTGATTTGAATCTACATTACTTGATTGATAAATTTAGTGTAAACTTATTTGATTATAGAATTGTTTTTGAAGCATCTGATCTTTGAATCAAAGGTATCTTGTAAGTATCTTGATTTGTTAACATTTTAAGCTATCATTTTGTTTTCTTTAAGTCGTAATATTAGATCGCAGTTTAATTTCAAAGAAAATATAATTATCTCTTTTGTGTCAATAGATTTCGATTACACCTTAAGATGTTTGGTAATCTCAACCGTCTTGCTTCTCGGAGTGTCCAATATGTCGGAAAGCGTAACTATGATCAAAAGGTAATTGATCATTATGAAAATCCTTCGAACGTAGGCTCATTCAAGAAAGATGAAATGAAGGTTGGAACTGGATTAGTCGGAGCTCCTGCTTGTGGTGATGTTCTCAAGCTTCAGATTAAGGTTGATGATGGAGGAAAAATTGTTGATGCTTGCTTCAAGACCTTTGGCTGTGCTTCTGCAATTGCTTCATCTTCTTTGGCCACCGAAATGATCAAAGGAAAATCTTTAGATGAAGCTGCGGCTATCAAAAACACTATGATCGCGAATGAGCTTAAACTCCCTCCCGTCAAGCTTCATTGCTCTATGCTCGCTGAGGACGCCATCAAAGCAGCAATTGCTGATTACAAGACAAAACATGAAAATGCCTGAAGCTCAAGACGTTCAAATTTGAGAATGACCTTTGCAAAATAATAACATTTTTTCTAGTTTTATCAGCTGTTAGAATGTGATTTTGAATTTTTGGAATAATATCCAGCTATTAGTAACGTTAAATATATTTTGTTGAAACATCTCATTTGTAATTAATACTTTATGAACGCAATAAATTAAATTGGTAATTCCAATTACAAATCATCATCATCACACTTGATTAACGGATTATCAATGTTTTTTAGTTCATTGGTCAAGCATATTAGAGGAATAAATATCGTTTGCAAACACAATCGAAAGAAAAATTAGCTGATTCTAATTCAATGTAATCAGAAGCAAAATTTCTTTAAGAAAAATCGTGTTCAGTTATCAATGAAGGTTCTTCATAGTGGCTTGTGTCATCTGTTGGTGAAATTCAACAATAAAAAGCTAAATCCTCGAATTGGTGAAGGTCTTGACGAAAAACTTCCAAATGTGATTCATTTAGTTTATAAACAATCGGACTTGAATAAGTTTTCATGACTTTTAAATGTTTTATTTGTATTCCTTATGGCCTCTGGTAATCGATCTAACAGAACACGATTACAGGCATGTTGCTATTATTGTCGTTTGGTGATTACTTTCCTATTTTCCCATGTTGGTTTGTGCACTTTGGTAATGGGCTATGCTTTTTTGGGTGCTGCTGTATTTCAATGGTTGGAATCGGACAATGCAAGGCAAGCGAGAAAATTTGTTAGACCTGTTAAAGATCGATTGATTGAAAGACTATGGAACATCACGGAAGGACCAAACATGCTTCGAGATGATTTGTGGAAGCAACAGGCAACTATACTTTTAAATGATTTTTCCAAAGAAATGATTACTCTGGTACAACAGAAAGGATATGATGGTAAGTAGGTTGTATAGATTAAAGTAAAGCAATTTTATTCATTTTTCTTTCTTGATTGATGTTTACTTTCAGGAATGAGTGAAGAAACCGAATCAACTCAATGGGATTTCATGGGAGCTTTGCTATATTCCATTATTGTTATGACCACTATCGGCTATGGCGATATTGCTCCAAAAACTGTTGAAGGTAAAATGGTTACTATACTCTACGCCATTATTGGGATCCCGTTGATGTTGGTTTTCATGTCTAATATTGGTGATCTTTTAGCAAGCTCTTTTAAATTTTTTTACTGGAAAATATGTTGTCGATACTGTTTTCAACAGTCTCGAACAAAAGATCATCGCCGTAACCGTAAAGATAAACGAAAAGATCGAAAATATCCACGAATGCCTCCAATTAATGAGCGATCTTCTCATGAAATGTATGGTCAAATGAGTGGCAGTCCATTTTTATCTGAGATAACATACCAACAAGCGCCTGAAGTTACTGGTGTACCAGTGATACCCAATAGATATGTTTTAGCCTCTGAACAGTTTGAACGCTTAAAAGAAATAAGTGAAGCTCAAAGAACAGCTTCAAAGACACCAGAAAATATAGTATCACAGCCAACTGTTACTCCAAGTGATCTTTATGCATTTCATCGAAGTCAATTTGGTACACCGGTTTATCCTATGGGTGTTATAGCTGAATCAAGAGATTCATCCGAGTCTGATTCTTCTTCTGAAGATGAAATTGAAAGCAATATACCGGTATTAGTTTGCCTCATAATCGTTGGTTCTTACATTTGTGGTGGTGCCTTGTTATTTAAAGAATTTGAAACTTGGGAATTCGGTGAATCGGCATATTTTTGTTTCATTACACTGACCACCATCGGATTCGGTGATATGGTGCCTGCCAGGCAACAATCGAACGTCGATCAACAACAGATTATTAATCTTATATACTCAGCTCTATATCTTCTCTTCGGAATGGCTTTAATGGCGATGTCATTTAATGTTATCAAAGAATCTGTGACAGAAACAGTTCGAGGTATTGGCAAAAAAATAGGACTAGTAAAGGGTTCTCGAAGTTGTTAAGACCTTACAAAAGTGCATTATAAAAAAAATTGTCGACTATACTTTAAATGTATTATACATTGTATTTTATGACGGGTTGATACTCTTAGTTTGGTGAAAAAAGCCTTAACCTAATTAAATACACGAATTGAAATTTGATTCGAGAATGGTATTCAAAGACGAATATGATTTATAAGGTGAAGCATGTGAAAAGAACTAGGATTTCATAAAGGATTGACAGTACAATTTAAACACATAGTACTCAATGACCAAGTTATATCCTAGTACAAGGAAAAATTCATGAGCCAGCAAGTTTATTTTATTATAAATAGAAAAAATTATCTATAAGATAGTTGATAATCGTAAGCTTACAAGAACTTGAATTATTTTAGCGTCCGTAAGTAAAATTATAACGGCGTCGAAAAGCAATCGATCAAGCTTCTAGGGATTTTATTTCTTGATTGATAGCGTTATTTCTCCAATCACATGTGATATCATCTAAATGATTATCGAAATCATTTAATTTCAAATGGACTTGTTTTTTCACCACTAGATCACGAATTACATCCAGTGCAGCTTCTGGTTTTTCTATTGAACCACTGTAGATAAAACAATGAAAATATTAAAATAATAAATATAAGAATATTATTGAGATCTCGTAAAATAACCCATGGTCTTGAGTTGCTTACTTTGATTTGTGTTTCCATTTACCCTCGATGAATTGATAAACGTGTAAAGTTTCATTAATTTCATTAGGATCATCAAAGTCTTTTGAAAAATTAATACCAAAGCTGTTAACCTGAAATTTCACACAATTTATATTAGCTATTTCAGATATAAACAACCTGTCATACTCACCATTAAAACGATAGCATCATTGTTATTTTCCCAAATTTTTTCACCAATTTTTGAAGCAAAAAAGTCCGGTGTGGAGTCGTAATAATCTTTGTTAGCTTGATAATAGCCGGCAATGATTAAATTGTTTTCTTTACAATAACTAGCAACCTGGAGAAATAAAAGAAATAGGAAATATTGAAAAATAAAAAGCTTTAAATACAAAAGACTAACCTGGAGTAAGGCAATCTCCATGCATGGTGTCAATCCATGAGCCATGTGAAATAAAGGAATGCAATCAACAACATAATAAAAACTAGATTTATCCTTGGAAGTCCTTTTTTCGGCTAAAAGAACACCATTAATTGTATAATATGGGTATTTCAATGAATGCATCATTATTTTGGAGAAACACCGAATTGAAATTTGACACTCCATTTTCAAGATTAATTGATTAATAATTGCATAAAAAAAGTAAATAGAAGAGGGTGTTTAATTTAAGAATAATTGTTACTAGATTCAACCACTTATAAATTCTAAATGAAATTTAATTGATTAATTCACTTGGCAAATAAAAGTAAAAAATGATGTTTATTAAAATGAAACCAGAAAAAAACAAGTTCAACTTGTCAAGCCTGCTTACAAGCAACATCTCATAGGATATTTTTAAACGCGCTTCTTTTAATTTTCCCAAAAAGCTATGTTGTTCGTGATATCGGTGGGGATATTTAAAATTAAAGATCCATCTAAGTTTAAAGAGATAATTAATGGTTCGGTCTTTGCTTCGTCTTGATTGTAACATTTTGTACTAATAATCAGAGTGAATAAAATATAATAATAGAAATAAAAAGTACATATAAAAGGTCTTAAGCGTCAGTAAAGCTAGTAAAATAGTTAAATAGCCTAACTTTGGCTAAATGTCGAGATTATTACAATCAACAAGAATTGAGAGAAAGAAAATTTGGTATAAAAATTTAAATAAATAAAATTTGGTTCCATGGAATGAGATCAATAATATTGAACGGGTTTAACTGACAAAACACTTTTAATGAATTTGTGCTTGATTAAACGATTAAATGACCAAATGAGTTCAATCTAATCAAATCAATTATGATAAATTTTAATTCAGTTTGTCAATCAATTACACAGCTTAAAATCCAAATGAATATCGTTCTTTCTCTCCAGATCTCCTCCAACTGAATTATTTGTGAAATGTTTACTTATTCACTGATCTTTGTAATCAGGTACAGCACTGCCTAAAATACGTAAACGTACTTTAGCATATTCAGCTTCTCTTTCCTGATAGCTTTTAGTGTTTCTGTTGTTGGAGGAGGAAAAGGTAAATGATATAGATTAGCATGAGTCAAATTGTGGGAAAATGAGAAACACAAGGGAAGAAATATATTATGATAAAATGAGTACCAACCCAATAGATTTACAATGAGATTTACTCTCTCCATCTTGGTTATTCTTTGACCCAGCTGCTGTAGGTTCTTTTGGTCTTTGAAGTATCCTGACTTGGGGCACATATTGTGTTCGGGTATTATCTTCCAAAGTTATTTGAGGCATTTCGTGATTTCTATAAACGATCAAAAACACAAGGAAGATTTATAAGAAAAAAAATGACAGAGAGTCAAAGAAGAAAGAGAAAAATAGTGTTGTGATTATTATGCTAGCATTAGCTTTATCAATATTGAAATATCGATATCGAAGTAGTTGATACTTTAGTACAATTTTTGGCTCCATCTACCAGACCCAAAAGCTTAAACTAAATTAAAAACAAGCGGATATCGTCATAATAATTAACCAAATATAGTTGAGATTGAATGTGAAGCGAAATCAAAGCGTCTATTTAAACGTATTTTAGTTACAGTTGAAATTTTACAACGGTGCTTTTCTCAGCCGAACAAAAATTATCCAAAAATGCTAGAGCTAAATCGTTCTGATAAATAAAAAACTTCGAATGAGAAAATTAAATTGTCAGAATTGATCAAGAGTTAATCAATTATAGACTAGACAAGGCACTCTGTGGATAGAGCACGTTGAAAAGGCAATTCACAACATGTTGTCATCGAGAAAAAAATCGTAGATAAATTCCTTCAATTGAAGTAGCAGACTTGAAAAAGGTGGCAGTATGAGTAATTATGAAGATAAGCTTAAGTTGATAAAATAATTGCTCATACAAAAAAAAATTTAATCGCCCGAGCAGGGGCTCGAACCCTGGGCCGTTAGGTTAAAAGCCTAACGCTCTACCGACTGAGCTACTCGGGCGGATGTGTGAAAATAATTAAAAGTGAATTTTGAAATCAAAACCTTTATTAGCATATTAACGTATGCGGAATAAAAATAAGAAAATTTTCAAGATTTAATTGAGAGAGAAATAATGAGGCGAATACAGAGAAATTTTCAATCTAAGTCAAACTTAGTGGGTTCTAATTGATTAACTCATTTAATCCCAGCCTATCGGCTTTAATCACTCTTGATTTAATTGAATTAGTTAAATTAGCAAAATAACTTTAATCGAACGTTTTGGGTTTATTTCTAATCCTACTGATTAGCTCTTTTTTGCTTTTCGGCAACCAAACATCTGCAAAAATTTTCATTTCGGATTCGCCCAAAAATCTTCAATTGGCCTTAATTATGGACAATTTGATGGATTATCAGCCTTCCGAACATAGGGAATCGCAGCGCCCTCTAGTGTTTTCAATGATTTTTTAGCATAGTGACAACTCGCTAAATCAGGCCAAAATAGCACTTTATCAGTTTGATGCACTTTTTTATAGATGGCATCAGTCGAGCTTGCAAGCATTCCTCTATATATAAATCCGCATTGAGGACTCCTTCCGTTATATGGAAATAAGGTTGACAATAACTTCTTGGTCCGATAGCAATCCAAATTATGAGTTTCGATGAAAACATCGAGCATTCCTGAATAACAATTGATCAGGCACATTTCCAGGTTCTGAAAAGCAAATCGATTAGCTCCATAAAAATTTAATCCTTCGAGGTCAAAATAGCTCTTATCATCCATAATGATTGCACTCTCCTTGATTGAAGTTCGCAACCTTCGAATTCGAGTCTTTTGACGTTGCTCCTGTTCTTCTGTCACTTTGGGAGCTTTCTTCCTTTTTTGCACTTTTATTACAATTTTATCAATATATGATTTTGCGGTCTTGTAATCGACACCGATTGCACGTCCGACTGCCCGATAACCACAGAAATCTTTTCGTTCGATTTTGTCAGCTTATTACGGCTCAATCCCGATCCTGGTTTGCGTTGAACTTCACCTAGCATTAATTTGGCATATTGGCGATATGCAATTAATGTTGGTATTCCTGCCAATACAAAACTTTCAACTATACCAACCATGATAAGCTGCATGATTCCTGAAAATTTCAACCTTTATCTCTTTAAGTTCCTGAAAAAATCTTTATCTTATCTGTTCAAGAATTTCGCTGCATAGGTTACTAACAACAACAAAGTCAATTATAACGTAGCATCAGGAATCGAGGATCTACCGAGTAAAATCTTGAAAATTATCATCAAAACACATATCCGAAACTAAAGTTAACCGAACTGACAATATCAAAAAAGTTTCTGGAAAAAAGACGAACAGTGCAAGTCATTTGGAAAAGATACAAAAACAATATAAATCGAGAAAAAAGCAAATACATTCGAGACCACTACTCACCAATTAGCGAACCCAAGAGGGCAATTAAGGCAATTACTGACCACAAACATAAGTTTTTTCATCTTATGTGCATGCTGCGAAAATTCGTAAAATATTTTTAATTTTGTTTTTATCAAAAAATTTTAGCTTAATGCATAGAGAAATGCCTGGGTTTGCCACAAAAATGCCAATAACTTTCGTTAATCAAAAAACGGGCACCTACTTATTTTCACTTTTTATGTACCTCTGATGGGCTATCTGAAAATATATATTTCATTAAAAACTCGAGTGACAATTCGTGCCGACCCCTTGTCAGACAAACTGCAGTATTAATGCAATTGCACGACTTGATTTGGACATTTCGCAAAAATGGATTCCATTGAATTTTACTTGGTTTTATTCAGAGATAAGTGTGCTAAATAGATTACAAATAAATATCTAGCATTGCCAAGGAAACAAAACATCTGTTAAATGCATTAAAAACATTAAAAGGAAAAACATTGTCTATTCAGATTTATTTATCGGCTTATTAACTGATTTTTACCTTTAAATCTGCGCTCGTAGTTGAAATCTGTGTCAATCATGTCGGTTGCTAATAGCCCTTTGACCGTGATCAGGCGAATCTCTCATTATTTGCGAAAGCTCAATCCTTCGGTATGTATTACTCTTTCTTATTTGATTCACATCTGATTATTCATTTTAATTGGTCTTCTAAATTATGATGTAACTTTAGGAAAATATAACTACAAATGCTGCTGTTCAAAGTATTTTAGCAGAGACGCGTAAACACGATGTGACTGATGAGCGAACATGTCGAGCCAAGGAAGAAATGGTTTTCATGGGCGAAACTTATGCAATTTACTTAGAAAGCGTTGCTAACTATCGAGAATTGGCAGAAATTTACAATAAAGGAGAAGCTACCGTTGAAGAAGCTGCTGCAAAAGTTGGCCTCAGACTACCTGAAAAGGTTAATCCATAATGTAACTCAGACACGATAAAATGTAAAAAATTTAATTTTAGTTGATCTCCCTAAATAGTTCGAGCATTCAGCTATTCTTTTCTGTCAAGCTGTTCAAAACTATTAAAATTATTAATATTAAAATGTTAATATAAAGTTCAAATTGTATCAATTATTGTATTGGTTGCAACAATTTGAAAAATAGGACCTTTTCAACGACATGCAATTTAAGTATCGATATGTTGTTATTTGATCACAGAATATATGAATTTCATATATTATTGTTCAGTAACTGGTGAAGTTAGTAACATATTTCATGTAAAAGAAAGCTTTATATTCATTAACTGCTGTCACTTTTTACTTTCAATTGAAATTGATTAACCTATTGCGTTAAAACCATCGTCTTTCAACATCAATTAGCTCTATTTTTGTCGCAACATCACAAAATACTAATTCAGATGCTTAAAAAGAAGCGCGGCTAAAAATATCCTAAACGATGTTGCAGTTTTGACAAGCTGTCTTGTTTTTTTCTGATTCATTTTAATAAACATCGTTTTTATTTTAAATGAATCAAGTGAATTTCCATCACTTTAGTGGTTAGATTTAATAACCACCATTCTTAAATTAAAAGTCGTCTTTACCTTGTTCATGTAAAAACAATTGATCTTGAAAATGGATTGTCAAATTTCAATTCGGTGTTTCTCCAAAATAATGATTCATTCATTGAAATACCCATATTATACAGTTAATGGTGTTCTTTCTACTCGAGAAAAGAACGAATCTAGTGTTTTCCGTTACATTGTCGATTGTGTTTTGTTAGCAATGGCATGTATATGGAGATTCTTGTACTTCAATCCAATCATTTGTCTTTAAAGTAACAATTTTGTCTGATTGCCTGATCGATCCATCCAATTCTGGATGGGGGTAGTTATCGGAAAGAGAATGATTTAATCATTGCTGGGCTATTATCAAGCCAATGAAGATTATCATGACCATCACAATTTGAATAAATTAAAGTTAGTCTCATTCGTATTCTAGAAATTCTTTGTGATAGAAGAGTAAATACCTGAATGGAAAAAAAGACAATTAGATAAAATTGTTATGTTGAATTATACAAAATATTACCCTTCACTATCAAGGACGTCTTGAACACTGGCTCGTGTTATAATGTGATCATCACATTTAAACCATTGGTCTTTATGTTGACGAACATAGGCAGTGTAATGGCCAGTCTCAATAGTTCCACTGTGATTAACCACAGCGAAAAGGCAATACCTAATAGGTTGCGATGAAAGAAACGAAAAACGTGAAACTGTTTTCTTTTGATGAGGTTTTAAAATCATACTTGTTTTCATTAAGTTGTGAGCCATTTGCATATGAAGGAGAAGGTGGATCAATTGTAGGTTTACAACCTCGTCGTGAAGCCATGAAAGGACTCATATCAAGATACTGAGGAAACGATATAAAAGTTGAGATCTTCTTGTGGAATCGATTCGAATGTTCAAAACGCTGACATAGAGAAATGAGAAAAATAATGGTAATACCAAGTTGTAAAAACTTTTACTTCTTGATGGCATAAAATGTTACCTTTAGATGGAAACTTGCAACTATAGGCAATTTTTTCATGGATAATTGTTTAGTTGATTCTTGGTTGATTTGGCACGTACTGCATTTTATTTTTGCTGAGCTTCCTAAGTGTTCAGGACGGGTAAACCGTTCAAGGCAGTCAAGCAAGGATTTGGGTTCAGATTCGTCACAGTAAGTTTGAGTAGTTGATGAAGCAGCAAGTTGCTGTCTCATGTGTAAACTAGGTCCTAAGTCCAATGATATGTCCCAAAAAGGGTCGATAGTTGTTGAAACTCCTCTGACAATGAAATTAAGAATAGTAAATAACCTAAATCTTTCGGGAATGTTATCAACTCACTTGCAGTATTGACAAACAACATCGGATTGTAAATTACCCGTGAATATCTGATCTATAATACATGTACAATGATGAGGATTACTATTTGACGGTCCGTTTGAGCCTATAGATATCAGAAGTAGATATAAAAATTAAATTAATACATAATAGTAAAGTGAATAGTTTTAATTAGCTACCTTTACAGTGACGATGGAGAACATCTAGAGTGGCAATGAAAAACTCATGCGCATCCTGCTGTTCGTAACCCGCCAGATGACGAGCATGAGTCCATACAAGATGTAATAATTTAAAAGGAATGTGAGGAGTACTTTTTCCTGAGTAAAACTGAAAATTTGAAGACAAGCACAACCGTTATTGATAAGAGATTAATTCAATAAAGCGAAAAAAAGCTAATAACAACAAGAAGACAATTACTTCTTGAAAAAGTCTTGACATTTCACAGACCAAACACATGGATGGATCATCTCGAAATTGGCAAATATGTTTGTCTGAAAGAAAATAATCTCTAAGTAACGGTGTGTGAGTGAGAGCTTGGACAATACAATTCATGAAACAGGTATTTCCTAGATTTATCAAACCACGTAAACCTATTGACCAAAAAAAGTGGGAAACTATGAATTAGAAGCAAATCAAAAGTGTGAAAATGAAACAAAGAAATTGAATTTGTTTTCATGTAACCTATGTAAGAATTATCCGAAATTCGTCTTCGTTGAGAGTTTTGTTTCAATATTTCAAGCTCATGTAAAGTCGGCTCCCATGTGTAATACTGTGCAAAGGCAGTTCCCATAAGTTTGTTTGCTTTCCATTTTTTTCTTTTTCCAATTCTTTCTAATTCACTATCATAAACATAATCACGGCAAGGATAACAGTAAACATATCCCCAAGTAATGTCAATTGCTGAAAGAAAGATTCTAATCAGTAAAATGATTTTTATAATGATGTGATTAGTGGACAATAAGAGATGATAACTTGTCAAAGTAACAGTTTTTATTTAATTACTTACCTAAATTATGCTTGGTTGTTTTGGCATGCTCATGGATGTGTTTGTGTTGATAACAACCAAAATAGATGCACTCTAAACAAGCGTGTAACCGTGTAGGATATTTTTGAGGGCCACAATTAAAACAAATCATGGCTTGAGATTTACGTTTCTTGGCTTCCACCGAAATGGCAACCACAAAATTGGAAAAAATGAGGGTAAAATTTTTTAATCCATGTTTAGTCGCTTTAAAAGCTTCCACGTGAGAACAACCTGCAGATCCATACTTTAAATCTTCTCTGTCATCACAGATTGCTTTAAATCCTTTGTCTTCCAAATCATCTTGACGTTCATCTGTTGATTTATTGTCCGAGTTTCCAGTTAAATAAGATTTAATCATATTAACGTTTCTAAAACAGTTTGACAAAAGAACAATTTATCCTCAGCTGTTCATTCACAGGGAGAGAAAGAGACAGAGAGTGAGTGAGTAAAAGAAAGGTAAAAAAACAAAGTAAATCTTTATTGAATCTATTTGGCAACAAGAACCATTACACAGCCTGTATACAGGTGAGCTTAGGGCGCCACACAGCCATGATCAACAAAAGAACTGGCGGTTTATTCAGTTGGATATAAAGGGGGAAGTTCAATTAAAAGATTAAATAATTAAAACAATTAACTTCATATCTCAAGTCTCCATCTAGTGGAATATTATGTATCTGGAGTTTAATTTTCCTTCATTTACAATCTTAAAATTTACCAACCAAATCTTTCTTATTAAATTGTTCAATCCATTGTATAAATTTTATGGGATTTTTATTAAAACCTAGTAACTCAATACTTCAACTCAACTTTCACCCTTTCTCTACTCATTTACAATTACTACTCAATTAAAAATACAACAGTAAACCTAAACTGAGCTTGTTTAAATCTGAAAATGTCCATCAAATTTCCTAGATATCTTGATAAATATCGCTGTGACTCTACACCATTTCATTTGTTTTTTGTGCAAAAAGTGATCTTTCATGAGTCTTGATCCTTTCAGTGATCTTCACATGAGTTGATTTTTAAGTGATTTACAAACTCAGGCCAGCAATCAAATAAAGTGGAAGATTGAAATTGTAAATAATTCATTCGGAAACTCACGATTAAAATGTAATAGCCTGAACTGAAGCATCTAAAGCTCAGTAAATTGTGATAACATGTAACTTTGATAATTTTTAAAATTTTTATCAATATAATTAATAGAGAGTTATCATATGATGAAAAGGATGAATAATTGCCATCTTTATAACTCCATTAAAGACATAACCCAAAAATTTAGTACAATGAAGTTGCATTAATGGAAACCAGAAAAGCATTGCTTTTGTTTATTAAGATTAATGATTATAATTATTGTTTTACAGTTCAACCAAATTGGTGATTGAATGGTTTGATGCAAGATAAATGTTGAATTAATCAGACAAGTCAAAACAAAGCAAGTTGACCATAAATCACCATTGACAAGACATTTCTAAGTCAACATTGGACTGCAAAGACAATTGAAATAGCTCATCCTTAATTGTTTAACCATTAACATTTATAGTCTCATCAGATGGACAATAATGAAGAAATAATTTGATTTCATTTTTGATACTCAATTGTAATCTGTTTTGCCCATTAAATGGACAAATAAGTTTCACTCAATTTCAATATCAATCTGAGGTAAACCGTGAAAAGGTTGAACACTGTTCAATCGGTTTAAATGAAGTTTTCATTGTAACTCAATGGTTATTAATATACATTCTGCTCGAAATATCATCTTTTTTTAGCCTAACCCATTAAACTATTAATAAATAGGGTTAAATGTAAAACCTAACCAGATATAAAGTTAAGATATAAACCTTGGCATTTGATTGTGAGAGTTTTTACTTTATAAATCATCTGATTAAAATAATTTCCATCTTCATATTCATCAATGTAAATGAATATAATGGTAATGCTAATGAAATACACTTTTCCAAGATGTAATGTTGATTCAATTTTGTAATGGTTTATTATTCAAAGGCAATGTAAGGAAAGCAACAATTGTAAACCTTTCCGTGATCAAGTATATTAAATGATAATCCTCAATGGTTTAACCCAGACTAACAGTAAACAGTTAGACCTCATCATTTCAATGTATTATTAGAGGCTACAATATGATCGATTGACAATCAATCAATCATTAAAAATGCAAACAGATTAGATTCTGGTGTTTTCCTCTTTTTTTGCTGAGCCCAGAAAAAACAAGAGTAAAAAATCGATGTTAACCTGGAAACAATTAAATATCATATTTACATATTTACTTCCAGGAATTGTCAACACTTTGACATTTCTCATTATCAATCATTGATGAAAATTCATCTCTCTTCATCATCACAATCAACTAATGATTGTTGCTCAAAGAAATTAATATTATTTAAAATCTTTAGGTTTAAAATTGGGTTAGAGTCTAAGGTTCACAGCAACCAGAAAATACTGTAACTCTATCAACTGCAGCTCTTTAGCTATGGTTAGACTTTTGTTTGGTGATTAAAGCTTAACTAATGTTGTTAATTAATCATAAAGCTTGCAATTAGACGAATAATTTAAACTATTAATTATAATAATCAGACAAAATCATCTAGTTTGGGAAATTAAACGGTAAAAGGACGCAACTCACCATCCTAGTCATGCTCATAAGATGGTAAACATTGGTAAAGGTTTACTTATACAAGTCTATTTGAACCGATAACTTTACTTTTAGCACTGTTTTTCTAGTCAAAGTTTTCTCTCATGTTTTATTAATTCCAGCGATAATGATTTATTTTTTTGTATGAATTGAAAGCTTATTTATTAAATACATTGACTGTTCAGATAAGTGATGAAATTAGTGAAAGAAAAGGATTAGACTGCTGCTCTCCTGTTATGCCTACCAAGCTCGATCTCATTTTGTAATACCAACAGTTATATCCACATTTCAACATCGAATCATCATCTTACTTAAATAACAACTCATAACTAGTCATAATTAACATCTCTATCATCATCTTCATCTCCAACTTTATCGTTAATCTCATCATCATCACCAGCAAACCGTCTCTTGCGTTACTTAAATTCTTTCTCCGATCCATTCCTGGTTTCTTTTTATTTCATCCTGTACTCAAATGTGTCTTGGCTTAGTGTCTAAAAACCATTCCACCCACAATAACTAGATATTTTCTCTATTTCTTTACTCGTGTAATTAATTGTCCTTCATTTCAAGCTATCCTCTAACATTTTCCATGTAAAATATAATTTTATACTTTATATTTACAAAATCTTGTTTGCATCGTCTGACTGTCTCTTGGCATAGCCAATTACGCGGTTACTTTATACCCAATTATTCATCCAATTTTCCTTTGTTTGGTTACATGTTTATATACTTAATTGAGTAAAAACCTTGCTCTAATTGTTGGTACTGCAGGAAAAAATTGAAACACTTTTTCCTATCGATTTTGGCCAGATAAAAGTTTGAAATAGAAATTTATTTTGGTTGGAGAAAAAATCATTGGAACGCAAAACAAAAGCTCAGTAAAGGATAGGAAACAATGGAGTCTCAACCCAACAGTCAACCATCTATTCAACAATCAAGTCACATTTCGCCTAATTACAGTTTCATTTTCAAATTTGAGCAATCCTTTGAATACCGAGAAAAAAGGGAATGGATGCAGGAACATTGGACTGAAGCATTTTATTGGGTTGCTGTTTACATGTTAATTGTTTTCGGTGGCCAAGCTTACATGTCAAACCGTCCACCATTCAAATTAAGACGAGTATTAACCCTTTGGAATATACTGTTGGCCTCGTTCTCGATTGTAGGAACACTAAGGTAAGATAGAAAGTTCAACCCATCATCTCTTCTGTCCTATTTATTTAGTCTCTCATTTATCTTCATTTTTCATAATGCACTATAAGTTCCATAAGAAAGTTCCATAAGAATTTCGTGTTCATTTGTCATCACCATTTTCATGGAGCTCTCTTCACTGTTTAAAATGTGTTACACCATTTAATCTCCATTGATAGCGCAACTTTAACTAATTAAGCTCATTATAAATTCCATTGTAATTAGTTTGAACCCAATCTAAACCCAAATCCACATCATTTTCCAACCTCATTCCAATCACTTTCATGTTTTTTCACTTTATTTGCAGTATAAATCAAAATAAAAAACATTAACATAATGATTTTCTCATAGTTTATTAAAACGATCACTCAATCGATTTTCGGTATTGATTTAGCTCATTCTTTCCTCTCTTTATCTCTCTCATTTACTCTTCTCTTCTCCTCTTTACAGTCCCAATCTTATCCAATCTTTTCTCTTCATTGCTCAGTTTGGCGTCACAATATTTAATTGTCATTGTGAATACATGTTTACATTTAGAGCGCTGACTCAGCTGCTCCTGGTGCACAATTGTATATCACAATAATAATTACAGACTGAATGTACTAGTTATTATTAATACAATGGCAATATCTCCTTCTCGATCATTTTGTATGTATTGACTGAGCTCATCAATAGTAGAAGCAATTGTTAAGATGTATTTACAAATCTGATAACTATACACTGTAAGGAATAGACTAAAATAGCTGAAATCTAATGCTGATATCATGTAAACTCGTGGAACAGGAAATTATTGTTACCAAATCTGACCACAATTTTATTTAGCATAGGGTAAAGAAAATCAATATTATTTATATTGATAATTTCAATATGAGGCGGTATAATAAGAAAAAGAAATGAAGAAAATTTTATATAATTCTCTTCAAATTTCCTTGCAATTTTCTGGTTCTCGATTATATCAATAAGAAAGTATATCTGAAACTCTCTTATATCCAAGCATCCAATTTCCTTTTCATATCAATTCCATGTCAAATATTGCATGGTAACCCTTATATTACATGCAAAGAAAATTGATTTAATAATAATTTCTTTACTAATTCTAACTTTACCCTTTCATTTATTACAGAACTTTACCTGAGATGTTGCATGTGTTCCACAATTTTGGCTTCTACCACACTGTCTGTAATCCAAGTTACGTTGAGGTCACTCGTGTCTCCGGTTTTTGGACATGGATGTTTGCCATATCCAAGGTTCCTGAATTGGGTGACACAATATTCATTGTCCTTCGAAAACAAAACCTCATCTTTCTTCACTGGTATCATCACATTTCCGTTTTAATCTTCTCATGGTACAGCTATGGACAGCATATTTCCCCCGCTCGCTGGTACATCTGTATGAACTATCTGGTCCATTCAATGATGTACTCATATTATGCTGCTCGTGCTCTTGGTTTCAAAGTACCCAAAGGACTAGCCATGATTATCACTGGATCACAGATAATTCAAATGGTAATCGGATGTTTTGTTACATATTATGGTTACACCAAAGCACAGCAAGGAGTCTTCTGTCAAATATCGGAGGGAACAGCTAAATTAGGTTTAATTATGTACGGTAGTTATTTCGTCTTATTTGCTCATTTCTTTGTCAATACTTATGGCACCAAAAGTAATCAAAAGGAACCAAGTTCATCAACATCGTGCAATAAAACAGCCATTCAACAAAAAGACAAAGTCAAGAGCCAATAGACTATTTAAATCAATAGGCTTAAAAATGTAAATTTCATTGAATTGTGAAAAAACTGACCTTATTAATTTATAATTTTGTCTAATTAATTTGAAAAATACATTCAATGTAAATTTGACCAAAGAAATCACCAAAGATTACTTTCTAAATCTTTAATTGTAAGGCAATTATATCGACAATAGTAAACATTGCGATATCTTAGTTTTATGTTAATAAATTATTATTATTATCACTGTTACTTCTACTTTAACATATTACATTGAATTGTCAATCAATTAATAAATGATTACTTTATTATCAAACGGGAAATTTAGTTTATCTGGTTTATAACATTTATTGATCGACTGTTTCAATACAATTCATTAAAAATGTATCAATTGAAAAAGCGTTTAAATTAGAATGATCAATTTATTTTAAATAAAATATAATTTATCATGGTTATGGCAAAAAAATATAACAAAAGTGGGTTAAAATGACCAGAATATGATGGGTAAAAATACAATAGTGAGTTGACAAAAATTATCAAAATAATGAGAATAGTTTAAAGAATGATTTGCCCACTAATTGTGATCAAATCAAATAATTGTGATTAGAGCTTTTCTCCGGAAAGGTTAGCAATAACATTATAATAGGAATGGTCAGGAAACCTATCAAGCTCAATATAATCATTCTCACTTGTAACCAAATTATCTAGCATTTTGGTTATCTCAGGAAAATCGGGTCTATCTTCGGGCAATTTGTTCCAACAATAAAACATTATATTGTAAATTTCTCGTTTACAATGTTCAGGTTTTTCGAGACGATATCCTTCACGGACTTTTCTCATCACTTCTTTGGTGGACATCCCTGGATATGGAGTTGATCCAAGAGTAACAATTTCCCACATTAAAATACCAAATGACCAGACATCACTTTGAGTGGTGAAAACATTATCTGACAATGATTCAGGAGCCATCCATCTTATAGGAAGACGACCCTGAAATTAAATGAAAAAAAAGATTAATATTTAATTTAGAGAGATTCACAAGATTAACAAGATTAATTTACTCACTTCAGATTTACGTTCATAGATTTGATTGATTGTGACTTTACGTGAGAATCCAAAATCTCCAATCTTACACGTTTTATTGTTTCCCATTAAAATGTTACGAGCTGCGAGATCTCGGTGAATAATCTGGAAAATAGTTGAAAGACACAATTATCAAGCAAATTACAGTATTTAGATTATTTTTCATCTATTTACCCCTTTGGAACTGATATATTCCATTCCTTTTGATATTTGGTAACCAAAAGATGTTAAATCTTGTGAAGTAAATGCACCAAGAATATTTCCGTAAAATCTTTCAGAGCGATTGTCTCTAAGATAGCTTTGAAGAGTACCAAAAGGAACATATTCTAGTATGAGGAATCGAGGCTCAATTTCAGTACAACATCCCAACAAACTGACAACATTAGGATGTGATTCAAGTTGACTCATGATTTCCAATTCACTCATCAAGTCTCTTTTTTCTTGCTCAGACGAGGTTTCTTTAGTCGTCTTAACAGCAACAATTGTTGCCCCCTCAACATTGTTGATATTAAAGGCTTCACATTTCCAGACTCGACCAAAGCAGCCTTCACCGAGGATTCCTAAAAGACGAAGATGGTGTCTTGGAAATTCCCATTGATCTAAATTATTTGGTATCAATTGTTTGGGGTTTAAATCGTTGGGACCAAATAAGTTGTAACTATCTGGTGCTGAAGGGAAAATGTTTGGTGGATAAAATGGACCTGGTCGATACTCCAGATCACTAGTAATGGAGCATACAGATGTCTCTATGGAGTCACATTTATTGGCTGAAGGTTTAATCATCATTGGCCATGAACCAAGGTGTGAAGTTGATTCGGATCGACTAGTACAGAAACGACTTAGTCCATAAATGAGGAAACCAATGAAGGTGAAAAAAAAGATTGTAGCAAGGAGAGGAAGAATTTCAAAAATCAATTGAAAAGATGAATGAGAGTGTCGATGAAGATTAGAGCCATGATGAGAATTTGATACAATTGGCTTTAAAGTAGTTGTCACAGTTTCTGGTGTTGTTGGTGGGTTTAAAGTTGTTGAAGGTGTTAATGTGATTGATGATTGCGTTGTTATGTTTGGTGATTGAGTTGTAGATTTCACATAAACTGAGTTATTACTTGCAACAGTTTGTTTAATTGATGACGAATTGACAAAACTATGAGTAAATGATGCGTTTGAGGCCACTAATGGACGAGTAACATTGACTTTAAATGAAGGTTTGATTGTGTTTTTTGCTTTCTGAGTTGGTTTATTTGCAGGCACAGTTGAGCTGCTAGTTGTTGGCTTTTTAGTTGTTGACGGGATTCCTTTTGGTGTTGAAAATGGATGGATTGGTATGTTAATCGATGGAGATCCATTATTGTGTCCATTTTGGCCAAAAATGGATCCAGGAAAAGATCCATGAAAAGGTGAAAAGGGATGAGAGGGTTTATTTAAGCCTAGACAAAGAAAGAGCAAAATAAAGAATCAGTATTCATACATAATTGAATTGATTAAATTAACTTACCATAATCATTTATATCACTATTTTGCTTAACAATTCTTGCATTTACTTCGATTTTTGCCTAAAATGAGAAGAAAATTTCTTAATCAATAAAATATATTTACAAATAAATTGTGAATTAAAATTGAAAAATCAATGCTCACCGAATGGTAGCCATCGTCAGCTGTTACAAGAATATAAAAACTGTTCCCAGCCTAATGTTGATAGAGAAATAAAATTAGAATTAAAATTGTTAATTTTCATTGTAATAATTTTATGTTAAAGCAAAATCCGCAAAATTAAGCAGCTAAAATAAACTCTGACCAACAATTTGAATATTTTACTGCAAAACAAAACCAAAGAAAAAGAGTAAACAATTAAACAACAAATCTGGTTAAGTTAACAACTTTAAAACATCCTATAACTTTATAACAATTAAGCTAACCAAACGGATTCGGAGATTATAATTAAGTGAATTTAAGTGATAAGGAATGAGCAACATTTACTGTTTTAGTATTTACATTTATTGATCATTAAGATCCAAATTTTGATTATTCAAGTGAACATTTGTATCGTTTTAAATGGCTAGAAGTTCATCTCGTCGACGTTCTCGTCGTCAAAATGAGGAAAGATATTCAAAAGAACAGATGTTGGCTGAAATTCAAAAAGAAATCGATCAAAAAAAGGAAATTATTCAAAGCAAAGGAATCGATGAAAATAAACTTCGAGAAGCCTTGATTCAGGAGTTTATTTCAAAAGCAAGAGCAAGTCGAACAAGAAATGATTCCGAAGATGGTTCGGAATCGGACGCAAGTGTAGGGAAAAGCAAACGAGGAGGAAAACGTGGACGCCGTGGGCGAAGAGGAAGAGGCCGTCGTCGAAGATCATCATCTCGTTCGTCAAGACAACGAAGGACAAAGCCAAAAACAATAGACAGTTCTCAAGATCATGCTGAAGATTCCGATGGCAATCAAACCGACGACTCAATTGATTCTTATCCTGTCACCACAAATAGAGGACTCACAGTGGAAAAAATGTTAGAATCATTGATAAAGAAAGAGCTGAACGCAAGTGAACCCGATCGCGATTCACCTGAACCAATTGTTGGTAGACTAAGATCAAGTGATACGCCATCGCTTACATCAACGGCTAAACAGCAACAAAAACTTGTCCAACTTCAACCTAAAGCTGAACCTAAAACTCAATCTCCACCTCAACCTCAACCTCAGCCTCAACCTCAACCATCCAAACAGGATCAACAGACTCAAACACCTAAAATTGGTAGGCCAAGATCACGGTCACCAAGCTTAGGCCGACGAAAGGTTCGATCTTCACCCAATCTGACCAGTACAGTTTCATTGCTTAAAGATGAAAAGCTTGAGGGAAGTGATGATATGAGTTTGATGCAAATCATATTTTGCTTTGTTGCTTTAGGATTTGCTTTGATAATGTTTGTTAAATTGTTAAATTGAAATATGAATCGGAATCAAATGTTATTCAATAAACTAAACTATTGACTAAATTTATCTTTAATACAACCTGACTAACCTGACTAACCTGATTCAGTCTACAAGACAATGGTTTTACAATGTTTTAGATTAAGATTTTGCATGATATACATGAATAAATTAGTAGGATCATTAGTTTTCAAAGGTAAAGATCATTAATAGATTTCTTGTGAATTAATTATCACCAATAATTGTAATTATGAGAATAAATTATTCATTAAAGATTTCCGTCACACAGTCAACAGATAACGTTTGAGGACTGCTTGAGATTCATGTTATAAAAAGCCTTTCTGGTTATCACTTTATAAACAATTGATGGCCAATTGAACACTTTAAATAACCAATTTACAAACAATTGACTGTTCTTCAATGTAAAAGATGTATTAAAAGGTAAAATGTATGAGGTCAATAGGAAGGTTTTTACGCTCATCTGAATTGAAGGCGTTTGTTTTGATTAAATGGCGGATTTTGCCCTGTTATTAACTGATTTGATGGAGGCTAGTGAAGGATCGAGGAATGACGAGATTAGCTAACCTGTCCAGTTAATGACTGTTTGATAAAAACTTGTCCAGTCTGAGGATTAATGTTAAAATATTGAAGACCATCACGAAATAGACCAGCCTCAAGTCCATATTTGATTTCATCTCCATCAGCATCATGAGCTGAAACGGTTGCAACTTTATGACCTTAAAAGAGAAGAAAGAAGTTAAATTATATTTAAAAATATGATTACATGACAAGTGAACCATGAGCATTGTTACCAAGTTCATTAACTTATCTATTGTAACATCATTTCTGGTTAATTCTATTATCTGAAAACTAAATGTATGACAATGAATAATCTCATATATCACAATCATATGAGTATCCAAGCTTGCAAAACTAATTTAAAATGAACTTACCTAATGTACGTTACAAACAAACACTTGGTAGATATTATTATTTCAAGGAAATTAATTGTTAATTGAATATTGAACTTGTCTCAGGTTTTGATATGGAAGTTGTAAAACGGTTAAACTTACCTAAGGGCTCAGTCTCTTTGATAATCCAATCACGTTTAAAATCAAAAACAGGTGGACTATTGTGATGTGATAATCCATTGGAGTTATAACCATGAGTTGACTTGATCAAACCAGAAAACACAAATATAACAACAATTAAATATAAGGCCACAATATTCCTGAGTAATAAGATGTTTGATGGCAAACCATAAGGTCTATACATGTTGTCAGTGTGTCTATGACCGTTGTTAGTGTTTACTGTTTGTAGCAATTTTTATTAAAGATGATTTTGTCAACAAGGGGTAACCAGAAAACAAGAAATAATTAAACTTAATCAATATTATTAATCCATCAGGTAACAGTCATTACTAAGATTATCGAGAATGCCAGCAAGGCATCCAAATAGGAAAAAAGCTTAGCAAAAATAAACACTTAAGAAATGGCAGAAAAGTAAATTATTAACCAACAGAAGTCAAATTTGGATTTTAGTAGTTGACCAGATGAGTATATCGGGTGTGTTCCGGGTTCAGAAGAACGGTAAAATAAAAGAAAGAGAGAGAATTGAACTGTAGTTAGAGCTAAACTAATTGTTGGGTTAACATTAAACCCAAATCAGGGACAAACAAAGTTACTAAACTGGTTACACAGCATCAAGAAGCTTTGCCCTCATCTGGCTCTCTTTAGCTCTCTCCATGAAGTCACCGTTAACCTTATATCCTTTGCAACAATTCAATGGCTAGTCATATGTTGATCTTGTTCAACATTAACATAATAAAAGACTTGTTTTTTGCTGATCACTTTTTTCGTACTAAATTATTGATCTTAACTAGGTTGACGAGTCATTTAGTTAGCTAAGCCTCTTTTAATATCTTGAAGCCATGTTCAATTAAACACGACTAGTTTGGCTGGTAAAGTAAATGAATGTTGAAAAGGGTTGAAAAGGCAGCGTTTTAATTTAAAATTTTGTCTTTTCTTGTTTTCATTCAGCCTTGACCCATTCAAATGATATCTTGTTGTTGACAGCGATTTCATTGAAACGACATTATTAAGAAAGTAGTTTATCTTGTTGATTTAACGATACAGACTTTGAATAATTTTCAAAATTAGGTAACTTGGTTTCAGGTCATCATGATTATTGAAGAGAGTTAATTGATGAACATTGAGATGATAACGTGATAGTCAAGTAAAAGGTTAATTATTGTCATACATTTGGAAAAAAGATTAAATTCCATTTAGAAAGTAAATCAGAAATTCATCAAATAGTTCTTGAAAAATACTTGAAAAAGTGTTTGCGATTGTGATTAAGAAAAATCAAACTTTTGCTAACTTGGAAGATCGATCGCACTTTAAGCTAAATTTTATTCAAAATCCGATGAAAGATTTTGTTAAATACTACCAAATCAAATTTTATGACATCTTATTTACTGATTATTATTATGTTTAATTACTAGATTACTCTATTAGCAATAAAATCGTTGAAGCTGATCAAACAATTTAGTCTTTTAATTGGTTTGTCATTTAGAAAAGGTGTGGGATATAGCCAAGAATAGACTCATGTTAAGGATAAGATGTTATAAATAGCAAAACATGTGTTATTCCAGGTTTTGTTTATTTGGATATTAATGTATTTAAATTATTGTTTTTTTGTATTAATGTTTAAATTTTCATCATGAATAATCCTAAACTATTGACCGTTGTCTCGGTGTGCAAGGAATTTGTACGGACTGTTAGGAATAAACATTGGAATCCAGGTCCTAAGGAGTACTGGAATCGTGGTATTCCCAATTTTGACTGGAGAAGAGCCAGAGGCAAAAAAGTCTCACTTATTAAAGACTATTTAACTGCTATAGAGGATTATCGTGGTAAAAATCCAGAAGAGTTCAGTCCTGAGGAGAGGAGATCTTTGTACAAAGAAAGAGGAGTTGCACCGATGAGAGATTGGAATGAAGAGACTATTTTCCTTGCGTCGTCTTCTCAAATTTTGGATCCGTACGTTCCACCAGAAGGTGACGGTAAAGCATCGATATTGTCCGTCGAGGTAACTGTTTATGATCAATAATCTCTATCAATTATGTATTTTGATTTTAAATTTACTCTTTCTTCTTATATCCGATTTAGAGAAGTAAACAAGAAAGTGCAAAACTTAAAGCTAAGGGTAAATCTATGATGGCTCTGAAAAAAATTCGTACTTTCTTGGAATATTTCGACCCTGGCACATTTGGTTCTGAAGCTATGGAAATATATCTTAAAGCCCACCAATGTCTTGTCGAGCGTGACTCTGAGAAGATATTTGATTATGTTACAGAGAAGGCTTATCCTGAAATGACTCGTTATGTTGATCATAAAACCTTGAGGTGGAAGCTGATCAAAAGTAATGAGCCTCCAAGAGTAGTCCATGTCCGAAACATTGATGGCCAAGAAGCTGGAGCTCAATTCGGTCAAGTTACTGTTAGATTTAATACAGCTCAAACATTAGCTATTTATGATTCATTTGGTCGTTTAATATATGGAGATGAAGCCGTAGTGAAAAATGTCATTGAATATGTAGTTTTTGAAAATCATTTATCTAATGTTTATGGTAAATGGAGAATCCATGGAAAAATAATTCCTGATTGGTTACCTTCTTCATCACCGATTTCTCAAACCTTTGTCAAGCCCGATATACCTTCAGAGGACGAGATTAAATATGTCCAGCAAAGTCCAGCAATTAAGGAAGAGTCTAACACTCAAGCACCAACTGATGGGTTAGCTACCGCTTAGCGGCCTCCAAATCTTTTTTATACATGAAGATAATTTAAGATTTATATTCAATTAGATATCTTTTTCGAGTTTAATTTTCAAAATTTTAATTAAACTCTAAGTATTGCTTATGCTTAGTGTTGTTAAATGTAGATCATTAAAATCAATGAAACTCAAAGCTCATTCTAGACAATGTTTGATTGAGACTCAGAAACATCTGCATCTAAATTGAAGATTTCCTGTAAAAATTTTTGCTTTATTTCAATGCAAATTAACTGAATACAGAACTATTGTAATAAATCATTGCTAATAGCATAACAGAGAGAATGACGAATTGTAACTTAATTGTCTCAAGAGATTCACTTCAGCATGTATTTGTATAAAATTAAAGTTCTTTCTGTTATGTAAATGACTAAATGGCATGTGCTTGAAAAATTAAATATAAAATGCGATTCTAAACTGAAATTTCTGACGTGTTAGAACATCAAACGCTGAATAACAAGATTTTTAAACGCGATATTTCAAGGATGTTGATTTCCTTTATAGATCATCAGTCAGATTTGACGATTTTTTTGACAAATGTATTCGCAAATGTGAATTTTTCATTTATTAAATTAAACAATATTTGTTAATAGATCATATGGGTGACGATGATGACATGATACAACATGCTTGAAATTTAATAAAAATAGCACTTGAAATGTTGATTTGACAACAAGATCACAATTCATCTTTAACTAGCAAGGTGTATCGATTTCTAGATGGTGCTAATTTTTTGAATGTTGACTCAGGAGGAGATGTTATAATCTAAAAGAGAAGAGAAATGAGAATTAATTTCATATAATTTAAGCAAAATTAGGGTAATTTTTCATACTTGATTATCGTTGGAGTTGTCTTTATCATCATTGGCTGGGTCGGGTCCAAAATGAAACTCTCTATGAAGTTTTCCACTATGCAGATCTTGAATAAATTGTTTCAGTTTTCCAGAGATGCTGAATAAACAAATGAAAAATATGGTTAAAGAAATGTGGTTAAATATGGTAATACCAGCATTTTTATGTTTTAGTGATAATTTACGTGTAAGTTTTGTAAATCAATACTTACTTGATATCATTGAAATTAGGAAAAAGGTACATATGCCTAAAACTATCAATTGCAATTAAAGGTAAATCTTTGAGAGTCTTTCCAAGATGATGCAACGGATGGGCAAATTTATGTCCATCTGCTGTAAGGAAGTTGATATTGGATGATTCACTATACAGTTCTCTATGTACTATGTTGGTGTATGTATCAACAGATTGTCGATCTTCGGGAGCATGGAATAGAATTAAGAAAGGCAATCCTTCTTCTGTTAATTCTTCAGCATTCTCAAAGGTTATTTCTCGTACCAATGGAATACACTTATCAGTTGACCAAGTGCTGAATTCATCATAACTTTGTAGAGTACCAGGGTATATAATATCCTGTTCTCCTGGACGAACACGAGAAGGTTTAAAAATGATAAAATTTTGCTTTCCAGCTTGTAGATGAGAGATTGATGGTTCCCCAGTCACCCAATAAAAATTACAGTCGCCCTTCAAATCAGTTGCTACCTTACGGAACGTAACATACTCGTTGGTAGTAGCTGGAGGAACATTGAAGTAACCAATTATGGCACCTTTCTTCTCCTCAATATTATTGTGATCTTCATGTGTGCTTATTGGTTTAACAGGATCCTTTAACAGATCACGTATATGGTTTGTTATTGCCTCGACACTCCTTTGGCCTCGGTATTCCCTTTTACCAACTTTATTATTGATAAAAACTTTCAAAGTAGGATATTTGCTGATATGAAATTTAGCCGCAAGTGAACCTGATAAATTAAAGAAAAGAGAAAGATATGATAACATTCACCACGTAGATAATAATATAATGGATTTATTACCTTGATTTTCACAATCAACTTTTCCAAAAAGAACACGATTTGGCTCTGGAAATTCTTTCAATATTGTTGAATATGCCTCTTCGAAGACAGGAGATAGAATTTGACTGAACCTGCACCAATCGGCATAAAAATTTACAAATACTAATTCATATTGAGATGTGATTTGGTCAAAATTTTGTGAATTTAACTGGAAGACCTCAGCTGAGCATATACTTTTAAAGGAGAAGAGAGATAGAATTAACGATGTTGACAGGTAGGTTTCAAATTTGACCATGTTACAGCTGATTAATTGAGTAACCAATGAAAATTCAATTATTCACGGAAGATTGATAATGTTTACGTAGAAAAAACAATAAATTATGCTAGAGAGCGGAGGAAGAGAAAGAAAGAGAGAAAGAGAAAATCAGAAGATTTACAAAAAAGGAGTAAAGATAAGATGTGTAAAGATGTGTAATCGTAGAGCTGGCCGGATTAACAGATGGATGATTTCTGATCTTTAGTAGATCAGTGAAACTGATTCGATCACAGAACGAAATGGATTTGATTTATAAATCAAGTAAACTTTCTAAATTTATCAAAACACAAGTTAAAGTAACCTGCCATACATTGTTAATGGGGCTAGTTTCCCGTGGAATAGCAAAATAGTGGAAATAGCTTTTGCACAACTCTGCTTCTAAAGGGAATAAAAAGTAGACAGAAAAAAAGAAAGGGGCAATAATTTCGCATCCAAGAGATGGCGTTATAATTGTTGCCAATGTGTAAAATTTTAAGTCAATATCAAATGAATATTTAAGTGTAAATTTAAAATATTAAATTCTGGGAAAAATGAAAATAATTGTGATAAACATGTACAATAAATGTTCTCTCACCGCCTAATCTAACCCATTTCAAGATCAAAGTCGAAATAATTCAGGTATAAAGAAATATTGAGTCTGACTTCAAATCGACTAATAATTTAGTATCATAAATGATATATTTCTGAGTATTAATCAGCATCGAACAACTCGCAAGGTTTTATTAGCTTATAGAGTGTAGAGTATTCATAGAAACTGATTTCCTGATTGAAACACAATTCATCTTCAAATTTAGCGGTAAATTATTAACCGCCGGTTAAAAGTTAAGCCTCTTCAGGTTAATGGGTATACAAACCAACAGATGGCTTTAGCAGAGTTTCAAGTTGTCAATATTGGAAGCTGATGAAATGAACTGTAACTGTGCTGATTAGTGTCATAAATTGTCTACTTACACTGCTAACTACAGTGGAAGATTTAATAAGCAACTGTGAACAGAATTTTCAATGAGTAGATTGTTGTAATAATCATCCGATCTAACTGAAGACCTTTCATTTAAATGTTTGAGTTTTGCTCTGATTCATCATCACAACCAAAAAAAAATAAACTGCCAAACAAGGTGACAAGGAAATTAGTTGATTGTGACTTAAATAAGACTAAACTTATAATAAGACTCAAGTTATAGTCAGTCAATATGGATGATAAAAAACAAATTAACGTTTGAGTACAACTTACCTGAAATACAACGGACTGAGATAAAGTCTAGTTTATCAGATTCTTGGAGTTAAACTCTGTGACAATCAATTTCAAGATAACCTAAGATTCTTAAACGCAAAAAAATGTTTGATGATTTGATGATGTAACACAAAATCGAGCTTCACAATTATTAATTTTTACACAATCAATCAAACACTAATGCTACACATTAAGTTTCATAACAAAAAAACAGACAAGAGGTACAGTAAGCCCTTGATTTTTCTGCAAAAACTGACAGACAGCTTAATCTAGCTAATGTAAATCTATACGTTCAGGTTAATTTGACTCAATTAATGTCATCATAATGTTTAATTTTTATTGACGATTAAAAAAACGGTATTAACAAATGCTCTATGGACTGATTTCATCAAATAATTTATTCTGAATCTATTTTATTTCACTTTGCTAGAACACTTTAAGTTAGTAAAAGTTTTCGTGATAAGTTCAATAAAAAGTCACAATGAATCTGAAAACCAACCGAAAATATAATAAAATTGAAATCAAAATTGCTAGTCAATCCTCCATTGATGGTCTGTTTTTTGGTCAATCCATTATATTAATACTAAACGATGCTCTCTTGTAAAGGGACTTGAAGTGAATGTTTGTCGATATATGCTGATCTAATTAAATTTCATTTTCCGATGCAAACCTACCAAAATTAAATTGAGGCAGAGACAACTGAGAAACAAAATAAAGACAATTGTGTAACTTGGAATACAGTAGTTTAAAGTGAATCCAATCGAGCCATTGGATTCATTTCAATGTTCAAACTGTTTTTTAATTTAAAAATTCACAAAATTGCTGAGTTATTTCAATCGAAATCTTTCCTGATCTCAACTTGCTTAACTTATAGCAACTTTCCCCATAAACTGAACCACTTAGAACAGATCAACTCCTATTTTCATTACCCATTTCTACTGATGATAAAACAATCAGAGTAAGTCATGACAAATATTTACATGTTATACATGCATTGATTAACCAAAGACAATCAAATACAAAATGAGTATTTTACTGATGCACCGAGGAATACAATTTAACATTTTATCACCATGTGATTGGCAATCTTCAAAACTTATACAATGTGACAATTGAAATCATATGTCATAGACCATAAATCATAATTATTGGTTTGAAACATTTTACATATCATTTCAATTGTCACATTGTATAAGTCTTCAAGTTTACCTTCACATTGTGATAAAATGTTAACATTCACTCCTCAGTGCATCAGAAAAAAATTGATCAACAATTGATGAATAGTACAATAACTGTTAGTACTGTACTGATTAGAGTAACTCTTTTACATGAGAGTTTGTTATCTTATAAAAGTAAAGGAAACTAATTCTAACTGTGATTTCGATACGATTTTCACTATAATTCCTGAAGAAATTTATTCTGCCAAATTTTGAACAATTGATGAATTATTTCAACTGAAGATATTCAAACTCCACAGATTTGCTGACCATAAGTATTTGGAAAACATAGAATTACAAGAGTCTCAATATTCAGTAAAAAGTCATGAAATCCAAATTTCATAATTCTGTTCAATATTCAAAGATTTTTCTCGTTTCAACATTCAATTCAATGTTGTTATACTTTTATACAAGGTTAGCTCATAAAACAATCAAAGCGATGTTAATAAAAAAGGATTATTATGTTGTTATTGATATAAAATGTAGTGTTAAATGCTTACTCAATATACAGATGCAATTAGTTTGGAGCTACTCTTTTCCTCTTCGAGTTTAATTTCTGTGGCATAATTATTGATATTACAGCGAATTGGATAAAACAGTAATTATAATTTATCAATCTAAATTGATGGTGAATACGATGAATACTGATTATCATTTGATTACGTTGATGGTGTTAGTGAAGCAAGTATTTTGTTTGTATTCAGTATTTCATAACTCTTAACCTAGGCTAATTGTTTTAACAACTCTTTCATTTATTGCAGTGATTAATGATATTTTTACAGTTTTGCTCATTATCTGTTCAATTCAAGGTGTAAACAGATTATGATTAGTGGAAACAATCGAGTAAATTGGTTCATTTGAAATAAAAAAACAGACTTGACATTGACATTAATTCTGACACAATTTTAACTGGAAGACAATATTTCCAAATAATCATATGCATTTATCAGATTTTTCATTAAAAAAAGTGAAATTCAATCATTTTTTCAGTTTATTTAATTGAAAATGCAAATAGATAACGATTGAACCTTGAAGATATTTTGTTGAACATAAATTGAAATGTTGATCTGAATAGCAAATTTATATGTAAAGTATTGTTGGAATTTCCTGACAGCTGAACAAGTTCAATTGTTTTACAAAATTAAACCAATGATTTTTGGATCTCCGGTTAACCTAAATTGTAACCATTGCAAGTGTTTTCGTAAACAAATATAAATATGAAAAACTAATTTTCTTGTAATAGCAATCAACTTTTAGATTAACATTATTGAACGTTTGTCATTTTGTTTAATTGTTTATTTAGGCTTTAATTTGATGTAACAATCAGAAAATATCAAAAGCAAAGAATAACCATTTTCATAATTTAATTTCTGGTAAAATATTTTCAAATGACTTTCATCAAGCTGCACCTTTCAATGCATTTAATCGTCCAATTTTATTCCGATGAATCGCCTTCTGATTGTCCGATTTCAAGACAATCTTATCAAAGAATCTCAATCAATTCATTTAATCTAAAATATCTTATAATTATCTGGTGATATTGTTTATAAAAATGAGTTTGTTTTTAAAAAATGCTGTAAACTTTCACATATGTATGTCTAATGCAATGGAGTAAATCAGTGAATAAATCTGTGATGTTATGAAGATGATCAGATAATCACTGATTTATTACAATGATACTAACAATGCTAACATGTTGGAAACATTGTTGGCTTTATGACATGAGATCGACAAAGATTAGTGGATAATTAAACGAGTAAAATCTCGATTGGTTAAAGTAGTTTGTTACGGAAAATCTTAATTCAGGGTTGCTTTGAACGCAATAAACAACAATAATAACCAGTAACAGACAGAGGAAATTTGACCTTTGACCAGAAAACCTGTTTTAAAGGTGACTTTGCTCAGTTAAATTGAAATTATTGAAATTGCTTTTATTCATTAGTTTACTCTTTGGACTTAACCTTCTTCTAGTTTCAGTAATCAAGTCTTTTCCTCTCTTTTCTCTCTCTCACTTTTTACTAATCTCAGTCTCTCTCCATTCTCACTATCCTCACTTACCTGACACCTCAGAGAGATAATCTCACCTTCTCTAACCAATTTCCTATTTTACTCAGTGAGTTGAGTGAGTTGGGTGAGAGATAAAATAGTAACAAATCGATTCGTAACAAAACCACGGAAATCATTCAAGTCCTACGTTCAGTTTCAGAAAAGTTTTTGCTGCTTCAAGTCTCAACGAGCCACGAGCAACTCGAGAAGTTGACTGTGAAAGTTAATTGTCCAAGTTAGTTCACGATTCATCCTCTTTTGTGATAATTTCCAGTTGAAGCTCATACCAAAGAGAAATCCTTATTTCAGCTTTATCCACATCAAACTACAATGGACCCAATTAATAGACCAACGAGAGTGATCAACAATCAGAGACAATCAATGGTATGCTTTCATTAATCCTTTATCCTTGATCTTTAAAACTTTTGCTTTTTTCCATCCATAATGTCTTAATCAGCTAATCGTTAATCATCTTCTTTCCATTTTAACCAAAATTTAAATTATTTTACTCTTTATTAACCTTGATCTGGATTCCAATATCATCAAATTGTCTTTTCATTTCAATTATTTTATATAATTTAACGGTCAAGTGCAAATCAAGTTTACCAGTTTGTTGTTTCCAGTCAGGCTTACAAGCTTATTACATTTGTCAAAACAAGTAAATTGATTAGCATCAGAGTAAAATATATTTATAAATTAACTGTTATGGATGAAAGAAGAAGATGAAGAAAAATAAATAAGAAAAAAGGTGAAAGTAATAAGAAAATGGTTGCAATTAAATAATCTGCTTGAGTTTACCTGTCTATCTGCTTATTCTCGTTCTTTCTATCTCCTTTTTGAGGCTCTATTACGATTTATTTAGGTTGTTTGACTGCAGATTAAAAGTTGTGATTTATAAAGTAAAAATAACAGTAAAACCAAGTGACCAGAATTGAAAAGAAACAACAAAATAACTGATTTTGCTGCAAAATTCAATGTAAAAATAATCTCATTCGGTTTGGTAAGAAATTTTCCAATTTAGTCAGCTTTTGTCTTCGTGCTTTTCACTTTCAACTTGACCTTAAAAAGAAAGAAAAATGAATGAAATAATTTGGTAAAAGGAAGAAAAGGGAAGATCACATAGTGAGAATTGACCTCAATTTTTCACGATCGTCACTGTTTATAATTTAAAAACGATACGATACGATGTTATCATTATTAATATTTGTTTTTCTTTCTGTCGATTCAATGTTCAGCGACGTAGGTTCACGTTCTGATTAAAAACAGCTTCATGAGATTTAAATGGTGATTTTCAGTTTGTGTTTCAACGAGTTGGTTAACTTGTTGCAATCTTCACTATTGTAAATTATAACATTTGTTTTTTCAATCACCAATTTCCATCTCAGTGGTATTATTCAAAACCAATTATCATAGTTGACAGGTTAATTAACAGAATAAACTGTTCGATATGGAAACTTGGAAAACATTGATCAACATTGGTTTAACTTATCCTCCTGTTTCTTCACAGACAAAATCTGAGTCGAGTGGCTATCATGTGCCCGTTAAACGAAGTCGAAGTGTTGTTACGTTTCCATCTGCCGTTCTTCGTGAAAAAGCAATCATTTGGGGAATTCCTGTTGAAAGCTTTGAATTTGCTCAGCGAATGGACAATGAAGATCCCTTATCACAGTTCCGAAAACTTTTTTGCTTCCCCAAAAAACGAGATTTACCTTATGGTAAGTGAATAATTTCTTCATGTGTAATCTAGATCATGAATAGGGCTCTGTAATTAAAAAGAAAAACAATTCCATTAGAACTTTGTTTACAATCGAAAAATAAATTTAGAAGTTTTTCAATAATCAATATTAAATTCCTGAATTTGCAATCTAAATTGGCTGAATCTATCTAAAATCTGGTTTTCACTTAACTGGGCTTCACTGAATTTAAGTAATAAACTGCAATATTATCTCTATAAAATCATCTACTTATATGTCAAATAGTTTCACTTATATGTTATTTTACTGTGGAGAAGGTACAATTCAACTTCATTTTATGAGTTCATGTTGAGTGTATTAGCACCAGGAACTTTCAACTCATACGATAGATCTAAATAATTTAAAAATAATCCACTTCAATAAAAACTGCTAATTGAACGTAATTTTCAAATATTTGACATTATCTTCCTTCTATCTTGCAAATTTTACTCAGTAAAAGATAAATGAAAGTGTCGGTCAAGCGAAAGGTTAGTTAGCATTGATAAAAAAATGAACGAAGCAAAGTTACCTACGGAAGAGAAAGTCCCATTAAATTCAATGCAATAAAATGAAAGTAAATCCTACTTATCACTAATGTGTCATTTGATGGTTTAATTGTCTATAATAACTCATTTTGATCCATCTTGTCTCATGTATAGTTGATCCTGACCGCATAGAAGAGAATGCTGAAGCAATTTACTTGTGTGGCCAATCCTTGGGCTTGAAACCAAAATCAGCAGATAAATATTGTCGTGAAGTTCTTGATAATTGGGGTCGTAAAGGAGTCCATTCTCATTTCGATGGATCTTTGCCAGCAGCATTGTGTGACATTCCTCCTAAATTGCCCATGTCTAAATTAGTTGGTGCATTACCTGGCGAGGTTGCAGTAATGAATGGATTAACCGTCAATCTTCACCTTTTGCTGGCAACTTTTTATCGACCAACAGCTCAGAGGTATAAGATTATGATAGAGGAACATGCATTTTCATCAGACATGGTAAGCAATAATTTAGATTCGTCAATTTGGAGGTACTTCAAGCCATTGACAATTGTTTAATTGATTATTTTGTTCCCTCTTTTGCCATCAGTATGCAGTTAAATCACATCTCACTCTTCATGGTTATCCAGTGGAAGAAAGTTTACTTCTCTTCAAACCTCGAATGGTATGTGTGTTTAAATTTTTGTTAACATTGATCACTTCCAATATTATTGATCTAGATTTGTACCAATGCCATCCATATCTGCATTGTATTATAAAATATTGGTAATAAGCTGTTGACTTAAGCCATCAGTATACCTTGGCGAAAAAAAGCAAAATCATTGAACATTGTTATTAGCATTAATATTTCGATTTTAAAAGAAAAACTTCAATAATAAGCTGATTGTCAATTAAAAATCATTAGGTGACTGAAGCTCACCCAAATGATCTCAATTTTTAATTTCTCAAGGCTTCCAATATTCGACTTAACAAGGTTATAATCAAGATGTAAGAAAATTTAGAGTACCTTTACGTCCATCATTCAATCAGCACACCATTAATTAAGCAAAGTTATCGAATATCCATCCACACCCTTTAACTTGAAATTTTTGGACCGAAAAAATAAATAAATCCCCTTTTTTCTGCTCGTGCTGGTTTTCCAAGCAAAGGCTAACTCTTTATAATCCCTATGCCAACGTAATTCCTGAGTATCAAGGGTAAACATATTACATGTTAAAAAAGCGAGAGAGATTTAGATTATCTTAATTTTACTTACTTTTACTAATATGGATTCTAATCAATGACCTTCAGTTATCATCAATGATGAAGCTGTTTGGGAATATTATTATACTTCCAACATTGCCAAAAACTGAGTTAAGAAATGTAACTGCAACTAGAACCAACCAAGGCTAAAAACTTCTTTTTTCAGTTGAATCTGATAGATTTATATTATTTTTCGCAGCTAGGGAATATCCATCCTTTCTGAACATTTCAAGCCTACGAAAACAAAAATAAAATCATTCTTAATTCAGCAAAGGAGAAAAAAGTAGAAGATACTCACTTGAAACAGATTGAAATGAATGGGAAATCAAGGAAAAACCTTGAATGTCATAACACAAAAAGATCAAAAATAATTGTAATAGTTTTTGTTAACCAATTAATTTGCAAATAATCGTACAACTAAGGAGCACATTAGATTATAAAAATTTAAGATGAAAAAAATAACACAAATTGTAAGAAAAAAGCATTGAAAATGTTACATGGCTTAATGTAATGCAACATGAACGATGAGTCGTTGGTTCAAACAGAGAGAGATAACAAAAGGAGGGAAAAGTGTGAAATGCTTATTCATAGTTTCTTTGTTTTTGTGTTTGCTTTAACCTAAAATTGGTCTTCATTTCTAGGGGGAGCACTTACTGCGAGAAGAAGATATTATCTCAATAATTAAGGAATCTGGTAACTCTGTGGCTGTCCTGCTTCTTCCAGGAATCAATTATTATACTGGTCAGTTCATGAACATCAAAAAGATAACCCAAGCTGCTCATGAGAAAGGCATTATTGTCGGTGTTGATGCAGCTCATGCTGCTGGAAACGTTCCATTGCATTTCCACGATTGGAATGTAGACTTTGCTGTTTGGTGTACTTACAAGGTAAGTTTAACTGTATTTTTTTACTCGACATTTGTACGATTAAACTTGTTTTGTTCAACTTGCAGTACCTTAACTCTGGACCAGGATGTATTGGAGCAATCTTTGTTCATCAGAGATTGACTGAGAAAGGAGGAACTTCACAGTTTCCGATGTTAAAAGGTTGGTGGGGAAACAACATGAAAACTAAATTCCTGATGAAAGATGGTAAGTGTTTAATTGCTCTCGAATAATAAACCGATCAATAATCATTTATGTTTACTTTTCAGAATTTGATGCTAGTGCTGGAAGTGATATGTTCAGAATTAGTAACCCTCCGCCATTATTAGCTGCTTCACTGATGTCAAGTCTTGATGTAAGTTTTATTAAACGTCTTTACTCTATTGATACCATTGTAACCCAAACATGAATTCAATCTATTTTACCATTTTCTTGCAGATTTTCAGCCAAACTTCAATGGACGACATTCAAAAGAAGCAATTTCTTTTAACAGGGTACCTTGAATATATGCTAAAACATTATTTCCAAATGGACTCATACGTAAATTACGATGATGGTGAAAATGATGTCGAAGAGATCAGAGGTTTACCAACTGTGAAAATTATTACACCTTCAGATCCAAACCAAAGAGGATCCCAGTTATCCATTATGTTTTCAGTTCCGTTAACTGCTGTGCAAGAAGAGCTTCAAAAGCTAGGAGTTGTGGTTAGTTTTAATGATATTTTCAATGCAATACCTTATGGTACTTAATTCCCATATTGATTATTTCTTTTTTTGCTATCTCTCTAAACAGTGTGATATAAGGATGCCCAATGTGATGAGAGTATCTCCTGTGCCGTTGTATAATTCATTTGTCGATGTGTACACATTTATTAACACTTTGAAAAAGGTTTTCGATGAATTTGAGACCAATGGTGAACAAAAACTTGACCTAAATTGTCCATCAACAGACACCGATAACTCTCCCAACAGAGGCTCTTCGATCAGCAGTGCATCATCTGATTCGGAGACAGAGTCAAATGAAGCAAATTCAAATTGATGTGAATTAACTGGTCATAAAATGGAGCTCAATGGATAACTTGATCAAATCCGTTTTCGGATTGAAATTTATTAATACTTGAATGTAATTATAATAATCACTCAAATCAATTTCTTTATTATACATATGTTTATCCTTCCTCGTTAAATATCTTTTCTTGTTAAATTATGTACACTAGAATTGAATGATTGAAGCAAAAAAATCCAATGCTGTGTGCAAAGTATATTAAACTTATATTAATCTTCTCGAAATCATTCGTGATGCTGATTCATTGAATATTTTCATTCATTAAAGGTTTCAAAATTATTGAAACTTTTACTCGGGATCCAGAATATTGATTGTATTTTTATTCCCATGAAAAGTTCAGTGTATCATCAAAATGTTGAGTTGCATTTATAATTCATTAATTTTGAAATACTTGTAAGTAATTAAAACCTTGAAGAAATGGATGATCATGAAAATTGATTGTTTTTGTTCAAATCTAAACATTTATGGGCATTGATGGATAATACACAACAATATAACACGAAATTTCTTGGAGTTCATGGTGAAAATGCCATTGCACATTACAATATCAAAATGGATCACTAAAAGGGTAATGGAAAACCATATTTACTCAAATTTATCATAACATTTGGCTACAAAAATGAAAGAATCAATTCATTTACATTGTTGGAATAATCGTGGCCATGAATTGAATTTAGTTTGATTGATTGTCTAATCGGATAAAGTTTATTTGCTAATAAATGAGATACAAAACATCTAATATTTTGTTTCAGTAAACAAAGAAGAGGACAAAATTGATAGAAATTGAAGCAATACCCCACCATGATAAAATGATGATGAAGATAACCCTCCCCCCGCCATTTCCATGGAATCCAGCACCCATTGTATCAACAACATAAAATTCATAGTTACTAGCAGTTTCTGGGATAATCAGAAGAAGCATTTTAATCAAGCTGACCAGTTGAATATTAAAAATATGTGTTAACCGATTTAAATACAATTGCAAATCAAATGGGATGCTGTTCATCATCGCCATACAAAATATGTTGCTCTCGAAACAAGTAAGTTCACATTGACCAGACTTGAATGCAATCATGTTTTAACTATCAAATTAAGGAACATTTATCTAATAATTGTATTTTATTCAATCATCCACCCTTTCAACTGAATTCATTGCAGTCAAGAGACAATAAGGTTGATGACTTTTGGATTAGATGGAGCTGGTAAAACATCATTCGTAAAATATATATTAAAAGGTAATTTTAACCAATTGATTCCATATTGACCATATTGTGTTTCTTTCGTGTCATCAAGATTCTGTAATTTCAATTTTTTTTTTATCTTTGATTAGATTCTTCAAGTGACATTGTACCTACAATCGGATTTTCATCGGTTGATTTGAAAAATTTTCAAAAATTTAACGTTCAAGTGTATGATACTGGCGGTGGTAAAAACATTAGAGACATTTGGATTAACTATTTTCCGTTTATTCATGGATTAGTTTTGGTGATTGATTCAGCTGATACCAAAAGGATTGATCAGGTTAAAGAGATTCTAGAATCAGTTGTTTCCAATCGTCGAATCCAAGGGAAGCCTCTTCTTGTGTAAGTCATTGATTAATTGTTGTTTGTCTGTCAACTAATTAATTATTCACTTCTGTATTTCAGGTTAATCAACAAACAAGATGTTGAAGGCGCAATGGATGAAAATGCTTTGGTTACCGCAATCAATCTCAATTCAATTGTCAACAAATATAAAATTCCCACAAGAGTTGTAAGTATTAATGTATCTCTAATAATTTGCATCATAATAAATTGTTTCTTTGCCATCTTATTATCGACAGGAAATCTTGCTCATTAATCATCGGTGGTCAACCAGATTTGCCAATAATCCTTTATTGGATCGAGGCTATCAATGGTTACTTGGATAAATACAATCCTATTGGGGCTGGATCTATCCAAAAGAGTTGAAATGTAAACCCGCGGAACAAATTCAAACTTTGAAAAGGAA